CGACGGGTCAGACCCACCGGCGAAGGTGAAGCCGTTGAAGGTGACCCCGAAGGATGGGTGTGTTCCTTACCGATGCAAAGGAAGGAAGCACAACCTCCTGGAGGAGAGGTTCCTCAAGTTGTTTCCACAAGAACTACTCGATGCGGGAGTGATCAAGAGCAACATGGTGCAGCCCGGTGAACCCAGTTCTCAAGCCAGATGGGCGCAAGTCATTAAAGTCGGCCGACAAATGGAGCGACGATGAAGTGCTCAAGAACTATCGGTTAACCAACGCTATGAAATCATACACAACCTTTGGGCGGATATGATGAGCCGTTGGGGTCAGCCCACACCAAGTCTGGCGACCAAGCGGGTCAAAATACGTCGGGGCCATGGCAGGTCAAAGAAAGTCAAAACGCGCAAAGTCCCTCCACCGGCACAACCAAAACTTCGGCCGCTGAACAAGGAGATTGTGTGGCCATGTGTGATGGACATCCGTCACGCAGAAGACCAGCATGGCGAAACCAAACCAAAGCGAGCTACTGTGGTGAACACAAACACACTGTGGCAAGGGGATGAGCGGCTATGGATACCGGGTGCGGCGAATGACCTGATCCAACGGATTATGGTCGTTGCCTACTGCGGCAGCGCCGGGCACCGTGGACATGCAGCGCTGGTGGCTACTATCCGCCGCCTGTTCTATGTCGACCACTTACCCGACAGGGCCAGTGAATTCCTCCGTGGCTGCTTGTTGTGCCCTCATGTAAAACGGGGGAGGGTGGTCCATCAACCGTATGCTCCGAGATGGCACGCGAAAGAGCGCAACGAAGGAATCCACTTCGACTAAGTATGTGCTGGTACTCAAAGACGACCTTACCCACTACTGCGAACTCATTGCATGCGATGGACCCACGAGCCAAGTATGTGTGGATGCCCTGGTGGACTCGACGAAGCGGTTCGGAATGCCACGAGTCTGGGTCAGCGACCAAGGAACCCATTTCAAAAACGTGGCCATGAAGGCGCTAGCCAACAAGTTCAAGGTTCATCATTACCTAACCTTGGCCTACTGCCCCTGGCGCAATGGAACGGTGGAGCGAATGAACCGCGACATCCTTCAAGTGATGCGGGTCATGCTGCGAGAGTACCAACTAGCCGAACAGGAATGGGACTACCTATTGTCAATGGTCCAAGCCAACCTCAACCAAACACCGGCAGCATCACTGGCGAGCAAGTCGCCGATGGAGCTGTTCACAGCTTTGAACCCGGCAACTCCCCTGGATGTCGTCGTGGTGGGCATGAACAAGGAACTCCGAGAAAGCGACTGGACGGTCATGGACATCCCCAAAAATCTGGACAAGCTGCGTGCTAGCCTGCAAGTCATGCACAAAGAAGTCCTAGACAAGAATGCGATGCGCGCGGCGAAAGCGACGAAAACGACCGAGAAATACGAACAGTGCAACGTCAGCGAAGGCGACTACGTGCTCTGATCCCGTGTGGACGAACGCTATCACTTCAAGCTGCTCGTAACCTGGACTGGCCCCTACCGAGTCAAGGAAGTGGGCGAATTCTCCGTCGTTTTGGAGCACTTGGTGACTCACGAACTGCGGGAAGCGCACGCATCAAGAGTCAAGCTCTACGCCGAAGACAGCTTTGAAGTGACCGAAGAAATCCTCGAACACGTTTCCGAGCAAATGATTATGCTGAAGGTCAAGTCCATTGCGGGACACAAGTTTGTCCCGCTTGAGAAAGACTTTATGCTGGAAGTGCTTTGGGAAGGTTTTGAAGATATAGAGTCCTCATGGGAACCGCTGCAGAAGCTCATGCATGAATGCCCGGCCATCGTGAAGAACTACGTTGAAGGCGTGAAGACAGCGAGCGAAGGCAATGCATTGCGCAAGGCGATGAAGCGAGTGAAGGCGAAGAATTAGCGAGGCTCAAGTGTGTCCTACGGGACATGGCTTGGTGTGTGTGTTGTAGTGGGCGACTTAATCCAAGTCCCGCCATGACACAGGTGGTCCTCTACCGAGGCCACCGGGTGCCGACCCTTGGCGAACCGACACGAAAAGGCATAGTATTACTAGTAGTACTAAGACGTAGAAAACAGAACACCTGTCCCAGCCAACTGCCAGAATCTCACTCTTGGTTCTGCAACGTCGTGCTAACGTCAAGTCAATCAAGTGTGTGGTTTGCAGGGAGTCGGCACTCCACCATTTGGTTGTTTGTGTTGGCACTGGCGTGGGAAACAACACAGGCAGCCTGCCTTACGAATTCATCAATAAGATGCGTTTAAAGGAATTCAAATTATTCCATACAAATATGAAGCTTCATTCAATAAAATTTGACCTATTCAGATCGATTTATGGAATTCGTAAGGTAGCTCGCTCACCTTGCGAGCCTACTAAAACCTACTAGTACCGTTACTGTTTTACCTTAGAGTAATGCAAAAATAACAGTTCGATGGTGTCGCGAACTGTTAACAGCTGTAAATACGTACTACTCGGAGTAGTATTGTACAGTACATCAGAGTCTTTATATGAGAGGTTAATGTGTCTATAATAAGCTTTCATCCTACGGTTAGGTTAAAGTAAGGTAGTTTCACGTATGAGACCATTGATAGTTTTACGAAAAGCACAGCACCTTGAATACGCTTTAAACACTCCGTTTTACGTTGAGTAAAATTGAAGGTGTGCTGGTACTGTATCCATGTTGTCAAGTCCAAGGCATCGACGTAGTCTCCTCGATACGAATCAAAGAAAAGCGCCATGTTCTCTTAACTAGGACATGTTACCGAAGAGCGAACACAAGGTGCGCAGATGCTCGGTTAGCCAGTCCGCTAAATAATATTGTCGACGCGGTCGCTTGGGTTACCGTGTGCAAAGCCTGCGCTGCCTACCTATATAAATAGGAAAGCTTGAAACAGTTATCAGTCACTAACGTTATAGTAACTTTTCAGTAAGGTAAATAATATGGGCCAGGACGACGACCGACTCAAGGTTGTCGAGAGATGAACCGAGAACATTAACCTTCGAGGGTATGTACCCCATGATACCTAAAGAGTACCTCGCGGACGATTGGGTACTAGTACCATCAATCTCGCGTTCGGTGACGAGACACAACCTCAAGGATAAGGGTGGCCCTCATGCCGTAGTTTACCCAACTTTCAATTCGACGAGTCCAAATTATATCCACCCTATTTTTTACCTATATTATGCCAATTGCCAATATCCGGCTTGTCGTTGGTTAACGTAGGATTATGTATCTTTAGAGGGGTATTGAAATCCGTCCATTAGGGGGAAAAGCACAATACTACACGTTACGTACTGTACAGTATTTCGAGTAACGTGTCTAAATACATGGAAAACATAACGTTAAACTTTAAAACGTGACCTTCCGCTTGGCCATAATTTTGGAGAAGAGTGCACGATACTACTCCGGAGTAGTACAGTAACGTTAAAATAATATTCCAATTCCGATGTACTATTTCGAACTACTTACGAGTTGTTGTATTGTCAAATCGATTTGAAACTGGAGCCCTCAGCAAGAGAATGGATTAAAGAATCACCTACAATCAAATCACGTCATGGTGAGTTTCTGCTAATCCAACGTTTGACTCGAATCCGTATTGGGCAAAACCATATATATATACTAAGTTTTGTATGACATATTTTGTACAAGCTTAAATTGGATCAAGTGGTTATGCTATTTGGCGAAATGACTCACAAGTCCAAATTGGGTGAAAAGCACAATATGAAGACCCCTTAAGTCATTTGATATTTGTATTTACAGTTAATGAAAATGAACACTCAAACGACAATTCAAAGTTAATACTATTACTACGTAGTACTAGGGGCGACTTTTGTACTTTGAACGTTGGTAAGCACACGTCTTCCAACCTTTCCCCCTCAAGCCATCATGGATGTGGTCAATTCACCTTTACAGTAGTGTCGAAATTTTGGGAAGCCAGCAAAGATGCGCCTCGTGCAAGGCAACCTGTTCCACGTAGTCTATATCGACGGTGAAATTACAGTACTGCACACTTCCTGCTCGTACTACTAGGTACTACCGGTAGTACAGTAGTACAGCCTCCGTACAAGTGCAACTTTATCATAATTTGAACTGTCCACGCCCTCCAAGCGAATTCCGCCCAATCGGTACGAACCTCATTGCCCGCCATGCAACACCCGAACTCTCATTTGCCTCGCATGTTGTTTGTCGTCGATGTGTATGTGGGGTACAGTACAGTAGCAATAACAGCGTTTTCGAGGGGAAGATATTTACCGCAATTACTCATGGACTATATCCAACCCATATTGTCGCAGAAATGCAATCTGCGGCTTTATGGAGCATTGAGCATGTTGTGACGTAGCCACGTTTGGAAGGAAGGGACATGAGGAAGCTCTTGACAACGTTCGAAATTCAACCCACAAGCAAACCACGGCTGCAGTGTCTCACTGTCGAACGAAATGCCCCATCACTGGGAACAACAGCGCAAACAATAACCGCCATGCTGGTACCGGTAGGCAAGAACAGTTCTCCGACTACATGTACATGTATCTAGACACGACTCCACCAACAGCATCCACATCATGCCCGCTGCCCGCCACATACCTAGCACTGGTTAAGCGTGAAATTGGTTATTTGCTACTGAAGTTTGACAGTATTGTACAGAATAATTCCCTCATTAACTGTGAAACAGTTCCACTGTTGTTTTGATTCCGCTGTTGTTTTGACCCGAAATACTAGTACTGTTTCGATCTTACATCCGGATACATCTTCGTGAGTACTCTTACTATTAATACGTAGTATTATATTAATACTACCGTAAGTAATACATACGATGCTAAATCTCATGGGTGAGGATACAAAGTTCCATATAAACCTCATTGAAACAGTATTTCGGGTCAAAACAACAGTGGATCTGTTTTAATGAGGGAATTGTACTTACATTATTACTATTAATACGTAGTAATATTATAGTCCTTGGGGCTGGTCTGTGAAAAACCATCCACGCTTTAAGGCAGGGATGTTATCCGAACTATTTTTGAGGATTCTGAAAATATATCAAAAATATTTCTTAATTTCTATCGAAAACGTGCAAAATAAGGAACGGATGAATCATCCCTGCTTCAACTCAGGCGTCCCTGCTTTTGACGTTGTGTTATCCGGAAAAATTCTCGTTTTAGCCAATCAGGAGTCGTATTTGCGTGGATACTTCAAAAAGCGTGGACGGGAATGTTCGCAGACTAGCCCCTTACTTAAGATACTGTCTTTTCACGGCCATTTCAAAGGTAACACCTGTAACGTCTGCAGCTCCAGCAGCAACTTGTTCCACGTCGCAATGGTCAAGATATCCCAACTTACTCTTAACCGAAAAATCAGTCATAATTAGGTCAGTATATATCGAATCTGTCGTTGTGACATCACGAGAATGACAGCACGAGAATGACGGGAGGGGTAATATGACCAATATGGGATTCTGATGACGTGGTCGAGGAGTTTTTTTTGTCAACACGGGGCTAATCGATCCAACGTTGGAAGCAGCACGACAGTGCTTGAGACACATGCAGCACATCATCTCGTATTAATCTTTCCAGTGTTAGTGTGGACCATTGGTCGCCACAACTTTAGGAGAAATGCTAGTACAGGTTACCTGGAAGCACATGGCATCCATTTCGCCCCATCACCCCCATTTCGCACCTCCAGCACCCACATTCATGCAAGTTAGGCGGTCGATACCGGTGAAATTCGGCGACGCTACATTGCAGCACGAACACTGTCATGCGTTGCAGTTGGACAGTAAACCCCACGAGACATGAATTTGAAAAGCTCCCATCGACAGACGGTCAAGTCTTTTTCGATCTTACCGGGACGACGAGACCAGATACTATAGACGTCAACTATATCCCGATTCTTTCCCTAGGGCTGCACCATTATTCATGGCGCGTCAGTATGATCGGAAGGTGTCCGAACGATAACACATTGACGACGACAACGTTTATTTGCTTTGCGCTGTATGGGTGAAATATCGAACCGCGGGGCGTACTATAATGCAACGTTCGGCGTGATTTAAATCCGCTTTCGTTCCATTTGGAACGGCCATATCTCGTTGTCGGGAGACAATAGCAGTGTTTTTTGTATTGGGACCATATGGGCCGAGATTTCGGGCTCAGACCAATACAATTGTCCCAAATGGAAAGTCAAACTGACGACCGCCTGTATATTAATTAATATCGTGCAAAGTGACGGCATTTTTTTCGGGATATAGATAGATTCGGCGCACTCAGGGGTTGTATTATTGATATTTTTATTACACGTACGGTAGTAAAAACACTGGACAACACCGCGTCAGTCACTTTTCAATTGCACGCCCCACTCCCACGACAACCCCCCTGTCCTCACCAACAAGAACAACATGCCGCTGCTCTCCAACAAACTCGAGCACCTGTTGAACCCCGTTGGTACCGCCTTCCATCACTGTGCCGACCACGACGATGACTTGGACTCGTCGAGACATTTCATTTCGTACATTTGCGGCGGCGACGGCCGGACCTGCGGACCAGAACCCCTCGAGGTCATCATCCCGCACTGTTCCCCCTTCGAATGCGTGCACAGCCCTCGCACCGACACGAGCGAACTCGACTCTATTGACGAAGACGTGAACGCTATCGGGCATGCTATTTCCCCCACTGGGGTATGTCACGAAGATCCTGCGGTTGTGTACATCTTGTTTGGTTCTAACAATCACGACGTGTATAGACCTCTCGATACTGCTTGGTCGGCCAATGCCCGAATAAAGTCAAGCGCAATGGAGTGTGCTGGCGCCATGGCGGGTTCCGCAACTGCACGTCCACAGGATGCATCAACCGCGCCAAGTCGCGAGGCCTCTGCTGGACCCACGGCGGTGGCAAGCGCTGCGACACTCCATATTGCTCCAAGACTGCCCTGCGATATGGCCATTGCTGGGCCCACGGCGGAGGCAAGCGATGCGACGCGGATGGCTGCAAACGACCAGCTTATGAGAGGAATGGGAACCGGTGCACCCTTCATACACGCCCAGCAGCCCTCTCGTTGGAGTCGTAGTTGTTTGCCCTGTCCTAGTATTACCAAGCCTTTCACAACTAAACACACGTATATAAAACTTAACTTTATTGATACTACTACGAGTCCCAAGCTTCTTGAAGAGGACCCCTCAACCGAAGTACATATTCCAAACGGAACGTCGATCACAAGCAAGGGCGGTGTTGTCACGCCTACATATACAATATACATATACCTTTAGGTACCTTTATCCAGGTTCCGGCTGGTAGATTTCGCTGCTTGACGGTGTAATGTTACACTCACTGCAATTCGTAAAATGCACTTGGAGCGTCGGACTGGGCCAAAATCTTGGCGCCAAGATTTGCTGGGTTTGGCAACCTGGCCCGTGGAAATGGCAACTTAGCCACGCCACCACCTGTGTCTACTTGCATTCAGTTGTCTAACAGTTACACTTATTCGCTGTGAGTCGTCACTAACGTTACCTTTTACAGGAGGCATCCATGAGCTCAATTTCGTGGACGACGAAGTGTGTAGTGTACTGTACTACTAGTACTGTATGTACGATGGCCAAGATACCATCATCAGGAGGTGGTAAAAATCACCATTTGAACGCCTTGGGCCGTAGATCACCCATCTACAGTGCACGGTGCTACCATCGACGACAAGATGCCTCATGTTTGGGCAGTACACTGCAAATATGGACTTCGTTGTCCTTTTTTGTTGTTTCGAAGGCGTTGCCGACATTGGGTTTGCTTCTGTCGACATCGCCGATCGTCCGTCTTCAACGCAGAAACCATGAAAACAACGTTCAGTGTTTATCACAGAAGATTTACTAGTGTACTGTAGCGTTTTGCGCCTGCATTTGGGGTGTTTACTTGTGTCACGTATTTTATGTACCACGTACTACTAAGTGGTAGTAGTACATACTACGAGTAGTAGACTAGTACTAGTACACTGTAGTACAGTTTTGGTGGGTCAACGCGTGCTTGGGGATTTCACGCTACCGGTAGCTGCCGATTAATGTGAATATTGCATTGCTGATTCGGAGTAAAATTATATTGCGAGTCAAATTCGAATACGCGAAAACACCACTCGTGTTTTACGTGCAAAATCGAGCAAACACAGCGATTAAACATTATCCTCCTGCTGTATTTGTCGTGGTGAAAAATTAGAAGGTATCCAAATGCTCCGTCCTTTCAATTGGCTAGATATGATTCAAACAGACTAATGATTGGATAAAATTACGCAATTCTTTGTTCCAGAAAAATGGTGAAACGTTACATCGTCGACCGTAATTACAGTAAGTGCAGACCGCACTAATTTTCAACCTCGTCACCAGGCCTACAATACATGTATTGGTGTGGACCGCACTATATCTGGAGAATTAGAGTGACTTACATGCTAATAATTGTATGACCGCATGGAGTTGAATATTGAGAATTAGTATGAATTATTATGTTGATAATTGTATGTGGGGGAAACACGTATTGAGAATGTAATGTGGATGAACCAACGACATGACGTTTACACTGTACCTGCTGTACGGTATGCTCTAATATGGTAGTATCATATGACCCTTGCATACGGTACCGGTATGATGTGTCTGCACAATTGACGGTGTACATCATTGGTGATTAGTGATGTGTTTATAGGTGACAACTTGCTGTACAACGGTTAATCCACATAACTATCATATCCGGAAATGAACCCTGAGGCAAAAGTGTGCTTTGGACGAGGGTGATGATCCTGACCACCTTCCCGTCCTAATGTTAAACACTAGTCAACACGTGGCCGCCATTCCAACCTACCCCTGGATAGTCAGGCTGAATATGCTCGAATTTGTAGGGACTGACTATTTTGCTCTCAATCCACTGAACGGGAAGCAAAGCTCACAAGTGCTTTAGTTGTACGACGTTGTTATAGGTTGTTATAGGTATGGGGACTCACCATGGACGATGCGGCTGAGAATGACGACTGTTCTAAGCAACATGTTGATGGAAGTAAGGAAAATCGGTCATTCACACCTGAAAACCTGTGTCACTGCTCAGTGAAGGTTGTGTTTTGGTTGAATTGCCGATGCCTGTGTTTTGGTTGAATTGCCGATGCCTTGACGAATTAACATGTTAGTTAAGTGTGAGCCACGAGCGGGTTTGATGAGTCCATTTGCCGAAGTATAGCTTTTCGTTAACTTCATGACACCGATGATTGGACAAAATTGATACTAGTACTTTTTATGATGATGAATATTACGGGAGCTTATACATGCAAAGCTACTGGTGTCGTGGAGAAGGACCTATCCAGGGTGGAAGGTAAGATCTTGGTTGAGGTACGCGAGGAACGCAGCGAAGTCGATGGGTGTGAGAGGGGAAAGGGAAGGTCCGGGAAGGGAGGAGAAATCCTTTACAAAATTTTCCATTATTTACCCGTTATTGGCGAAGTCGTCAAAGCTGTAACGATATTTTACAGTTTTGGTGATTCGAAACTGTGAACTTGGCCGATTTGCAGTTTCGCAGTATACTTTTTCAGTTTCCGCGGCTTTTTACAGTCGCCTGGTGGGGTTGTCAAAACTGTAAATTTTCCGGATAGAACTGTAAAATAGCGTTTATAGTCGTACCGGGGATGCTATTAGATGGCTTTCTATGACTATCGGAGCAAATGGTCCTCTTGGCATACACCCCAAACATCTAATATTGCATGCAATTGATCCGCACTACTGTAACTACCAACCACAGATTTGGGGAACTCCTTCGCACATGTATTAGTGTGGACCGCACTAATTCTGAATCCACACTAATTCAACGGTGTACCTTTCCAGCACTGTACAACCCGCAATGACAGCAGTACCACATAGCTACATACGCCACTACAGTACTTCCCCCTATACTGGCGATGTGGTCACAAGCACTACTTAAGATCAATTTGAAGCACGGGAAGTCAAACGTGATCCCCCCGCAAATTATATTATCATTCATCAAGCAGGACAGCGCACACCTGTATGTACTACATTCCCCCCTTATAACCTTCGTTTTGAGCTGTGCTTCTCAGTCCGACAACCATCAACCCAGACCAACTAGTAGTTGTTCGCTGCGTGAAGATTGTAAAATTGTTATCAACCAGAGTTATAGCTCATTGTAGTATACTAGTAACGTTACGCATTAGCATCGGACGGCTTGTCAAAGCGAATATGAACATTCTCAGCAGCAAGCGTCAATCTACGAGCTGTCATGTCTTGAGTAATCGTCAAAGAGTTACCAGAGATTGCTCCTGAGGCGGTGATGAGTAATCGTCAAAGAGTTACCAGAGATTGCTCCTGAGGCGGTGATGCAGTGCAACCGATTGTTGTCGATGTTAAGGATGTCATTGAAAGCGTTCCGAGAGTAGACGCGCCGGGTACATTTAAAGTACCGCCGATGAAAGCATCGCCAGCAACGCCAAGGCCTCCGGTATAGCGTAACGCTACAGTGATCGTACTTGTAGCTAATGCTGTTGAACTTGTCTTCATGATGTCTTCCGATGTGATCATTCCGGTCTCACTATCAACTTATAGAGGACACCACTGTTACACAGTACTTTTGGCTATCCATACCCCTGCATGTATATCATCATCTTACCCCCCCCCCCGTATACCTCCCCCTTCAGTGCCTATGAAAATGTCAGTGAAATCTGATCAAAACCCAACTCAAGAGGTAGCTTGAAAACTATTCAGGCATGCGCATTGGTCTAAATCCATCCCAGGACTTATATTTCATTGGATGAAATGGTTTAACGCATGTTGATTGGGTATTCCTGGTAGGAATTAATAGCATTCACAGTCAATTGATTTAATTGTGGTGATCGACTTTTCAACACTAACGTAAACGTTATTTCACTCATTCACTCATATCCACCTCCGTCACCACTTTAAAGTCGCTTACTTAGAATGATCTATACAGCCGTGCCTTGTCTTGCATGTCCTTTAAGGCTCAAAGTCGCGCCGTGCCGAAGTCAGAATGATATCGAACTCGACAATATATTAATTTGAGCAAAGTGCTACAGTAACGTTATACGTAGGTATGTGTAGGCTCATCTACACCTACCGGTAGTATGAAAGTCGCGTGAAAATAGAGGATGTTAGGGAAGTGCTTAGTGATGCAAGTTGCGAAACACTACATGCTGGTAACATCATGTCTGCAAGTATATGGTCATACCTTTGAGTTTGGTTATGAAGGGCGAAGTCAACTGTGCCGTCTTAGAAGCATGTAAGGGAACCACTTTGCTTGGTTTATGTATGGCATTGAAGGAGTCGTGGGCCTGCCAATCATAACAAACAAGCTCTTGTTCTGCTTGGCCATTGTTTGCGGCATGGTTCCTAAGCAAGTGACTCGCCTTCCAATCACACGACAGATACCGGTACCGGATACAACGTCACTTCTGACGATCTTTGTGACATGAAGCATACGGATGAAGTTACCGAATTGGAGCACTCATACTGAGTTGTCTCACCTCGAGTAAAGCATTGGTCTTGATACCTGGAGGAATATATCAGAAACGTAGCCGTCCACTTCACTCAATGACAAAGTCAGCCAAGTAGCTCTAACGTGCACTGCAGCTATCACGAATCCATGCTGGGGGTGCCAGCACCAACCGATCAATCAATGCCTGTGCCAAGCCATCGGTCACACAAAGCGTTGCACAGTCGGCCATGGCCTGCCTTGAAGGGGCGGTAATTTGCAAGACGCGGGGGGATGATGGATCAGAGAGCGAAGTAAACGCCTCCTGCCAGAAAGAAGAACAAACGGTACAGTGACTCCGTCACGAAGGATATAACTCAATTCACACGTAGCTCTCCCGATAGGTTTAAGTTCGGTCATGTGATGTCACAAGTAGGCAACAAAGTACGTTGATGATCGCTTTTTTAGTTCGGTCCCTGGTCGTGACATTTGAGCACTGCTAAAGACGCTAACGTAAAGTCCGTTGCCTGGCTTTGAGGCGAAGACTTTGCGGCGTGTACTTGGGCGCTGTAGAGCCCGACAAGTCGAATGCTATCAATAAGGTAAATACTGGGTCAATGACATGTTGTAAACGCCTTGCTATGGTGACCAGCCTGTTAACGATATTTTAAAAGTGACGTTATCACTACCAGCAACGTCAGCAGGGAATAGTAGCAAGTGCATTGCATCATCAAACTGGGGCATGCATCCAAATGGGCACAAAAACGAATGGTAGTTCCCGATTTTTGGAGTCATCTAGGGGGTGACACTTGTGAACGCTAAACAAAACAATACGTGGGAGGTTGAGGCCAGACTTGAGCCCAGGAAGCACCTACAGTACAATAAATGTAACGTTGCAGAAATACAAAGCGTCATAAATGTCCAACCCAGTGTTCTTAAAAGCGAGGGCCGGGCGAAATTCCCACTGGTGATGAGACATGGAGTATCCGGATACGCGCTTCCGGATTTGAATACTCATGCCGGCTCGAGCAAAGACTCAGTAACTTCCTCGCAAAGATGGCATCGCTGGATGCTCTAGCCGAAGATTCCGAGATCATCGATTTACTTGCTACACTATTCAACAACGAATTCACGCAAGGCGCTGCAGCTGCTGCGGCGTCACATCCGCACGAACAACCACCCACGACACCCGGTCTACTGCTACCCACCCTTGCAGCCCCGTCATCCACGCGAAAATTGTGCAAAGAAGACGGGTGCTTGCGAAAAAACGTGAGCAAGGGCTTCTGTATACGCCACGGGGTACGTTCGAGGGTAAAGCAGGTTTGTGTTTTGAAGCCGTGATGGTGCAGGGGGGCAAGCGATGCCAAGTCGAGTCGTGTGACAAAGGGGCCAAACAGAACGGGGTTTGTTGGAAGCACGGTGCGTTGCTTGGCTTACAAATGCATTGACTAAGATGCTAACTGGATCTTGCCTAGGTGCGTCGCGGGAGTGCGAGTTGGAAGGCTGTACAAACCATTCCAAAGCCCGAGGCTTGTGTTGGTCCCATGGAGGGGGGAGGCCGTGCGCTACCGAAGATTGCCACCGCACAGCGCTACAAGGGGGGCATTGCTGGGCTCATGGTGGAGGTACACATCAGCTCAAGCATGACACTGTGCACCAGCGGATTGCTTCTTTTAAACCAAGCGCACTAGGGAAGCGATGCAAGCGAGAAGGCTGTCTCCGGCCTGCATTCGAACGAAACGGGAATTATTGCGATTTGCACTGCCAGGATTCTGAACTATCACAATGAAACTGATTTTTGTCGAAATGTTGAGCAGGACTTTGGACGACGACGAACAGTACCGTAGCGCTAGCTACGGTACGGCCTAGTCTAGTTCATATATTTCCTACAACATAGGAAATATACTGCGTCGGGTAGGAAACGAGTCAAATGAATTCATCGCCAACGAGAACTGCAACAGTATACTTTGGAGTTTTATGTCATGTAGAATCATGAAGGTCGCGCAACTGAGGGTTCTGTTCGGCTTGTCGCTTGGTGTTGAATTTCTGTAGTTGCTTGGATGAGAGTGCTGCAACAAGAATACTTTAAGGGCTGGTCTGGACGCCACAAGCGATATTCCGTCAGAAACCTTTTCTCCTTTTCGGCAAATTCCTTGCAAAATGGTAGTTTTCTGACAGAATATCGTGGCATGCCACAGAAAATTATATGTCAAATAATGTTCTGACAGTGATTTCCCTTTTTAAATGGGAGGAGACAAACAGTAGCGTTACAGTAAACATTGGGCAGCTTCAGGTGAAGCTATTTCCATCAGAAAACAGTAAAATTTCGACTTATTATGTCAATTTATCTATGTCAGATTTGGTAGCCAAGCTGTCGATTGAACAGTTGTCATAATATTTCTGAAAAGTTGCGAAAAGAGGTGTTTTCTGACATTTTTTGTGACAGGTCAATCCGAATCGACAATATTTCGAGGGAAATATTAATGGCAGGGAGGTTGAATATTTCCAGAGGATTATTATTGCAGGAGTGATTGTCAAAGACCGCATTTTGGAAAATATATGCATTTAATATTTAGAATAACGTAACAAACCTGCCGAGATTGTCTGTAATAAATTACTCAAAGTCACAAAGGACTATATATATGCAAAATTATTCCCGCGATTGGACTCAGGACTCGGGTATCGTAATTTCCACCTTGCATTCCCTACTGTTAATGACGCGCAACAGCGCCACAACGGCTCGAAGGAGCTGGCGCCTGCATCTAGCGATGACGTAGGTGTAGAACTATCTAGCCCCGAGTCAACACATTCCTGACCCGAATCTTCTCAACCCAAGCGTGGTGCAGGCCTGTACCTTCCTCGATCGAATGCATGGAGGTGTCAACGTATCGACTTGTCACGGGGCCTTGGTACGTCAAGATGCATGCTGTATTGCTTCAGTCAATCGGTTGAACGGGTTGTGTGTGTTAGGGGGGCTTGGGGTGCGAAGGGCGACCATTTTCGATAACGTTAGCGGTGGATCGGTGGGGCCCAAATACTTCGCTGTGGGTAACTCAACAAGAGAACGAGCCGTGGAATGTGTACTGGTTGAAGGAATGCCACGAAGGAATCGAGGGCTCGGCGATGTGATCCTTACAGGTTGAGTGGATTTGTACATAGTGTCGGTACTGCATCATTTACCAATGTCACTCTTGAATAACAATATGATGATATGCTCAATAGCAGCACAGGGTTCTCGGACACATCCATCACCAAACGCCTTGGCCCGTCGACTTTCCGTGTCGCCCTGGTTGTTGTTGGGAGCAGTTCTTCCCTGTATGACGTGCTTCACGATCATGCTCGACACTGGTAGGTACCCCGTATGCTGAAATCGTTCGCGTGTTGCGCCATATCTGAGAATAACTTTATGTCAACAATCAACTGCAAACCTCAAACCACCAAGTGAGTGCTACAATATTCCTTGAGGCAGTCTATGTACTCGTTTGCACGAGTTTTGGCTAGCGCGACAGTACCGGTATTCACCATATCCATATTGAAAAAGTTTGACATATTTACGGTCCATCCATCTTCATTGGATCGTTGAGATGGCTCATTTTACGTTCGTGATGTACATTTTTGAAATTGTTGATTGTTTCTACAAATGGTACTGTACAGTATTTCCCTTGAAAAGTGAAATACTGGCAAGACCTCCAGCTTCGCATACCATCGATCAGATATCGATACACTTGTGTAAGACTGTCTGTGCATATTTATGCGTCAATTACCTTGTTCAGGGAGCATGTTTTTATCATTTGAACATGTTCGCTCCGTGAGTACAACAACCAACGCGTTTTGGCTGAGGAAGAGTATGTGATAACAAATCAACCAGCTAGGCACGGCTTCGTACGACACTAATGCCCCACATTCAAAGGATCTGCCCATCAGGTATGCGTGCATAATCTCTTTCAATTGTTATCATTAGGACATTGAAGTAGCGGGCGTAGCACCCCTTGGTTCTCGGCCGGCTTAGAAAGATATCAAACCAAACTGGTTTCGATCACGGCATACACCTCGACACTGACTATCTTTTTTCTGTTACTACGTGCCGCTCAACTTGCGGCGGTCTCATTTAGCGGAGGGGGCGCGGGGATGTGCTGGCTACTATGCACCGTGCAGTAGTTGCCGTTGCGTTCGTACGCTGGCCGCTGGCATCCGTCCTGATTGCACCGCTTTCCTACGAAACGTCATCAAGTCAGCAGCGCCAAGGGTGTATAGTAAGTACCCCCGCCGTGCGCCCAACAGTGCCCCCCTTGCAGCGACGTGCGGCTACACTCCAGCGTGGCACAGGGTTTTCCGCCTCCATGGGTCCAGCACAGCCCCCTAGCCTTGGAATGGTTGCTGCACTCGTCCCGCTTGCATATCCGCGATCCGCCTAACCGCATTTCAACAACCTATCCACACATTCAAACTGAACCGTGTTTCCAACACACGCCATTGTGCTTGGCCCCCTTGTCGCACAAGGCAACTTGACATCGCTTGCCTCCCTACGATACGCATATGTGGCATGGCCAACAAAAGACTACATACACAAACATGTGCAGCTGAGTGTATTTACCCCGTGGCGAATACAGCACCCTTTGCTCACAATCGTGCGGTGGCAGCCGTCAGTTTGGCATGCTCTCCGCCGCCTCGTTTCGGGCGGCAAAGTCGCAGACGTTTGATTCGTCGAGGAGGAGGAGGCTACGCCCTGTGTGTACTCGTCGCTGAACACTGTCGCAAGCAACTCGACGATCTCCAAGTCCCTAGCGAGTGAATCGAGAGGCCCAGTCATTGGGGTCATTGTCATCAATTGCAGTAATGAACACCACAACTGGTAATCCAAAATATATGCGTTTTCACCCGTCGATAGTGGGATGTACTCTGGAGTATTATTATTATGTATCGATCGTCCAGTTTCAATGGTGCTCTGTGTTGGAAACGTCACATTCACGTTTTATTGATTTAAATAAAAGCATTGACATTCTCAAAATCAACGATGGACACTTACTTGGAAATCGTATGGTGGAACACCACGAACAACAATGTTCGAAGTCGCGGTTATGGAGCGAACTCAACAGAGATAAGGTATGGACATGTAGCCTCTGTCAATAACTTTCCACTTTAGTTCAAGAAATGTCGATGGATATAGATAGATGTATGTACCAAGTCGGTGTAGCACGGTGTACTAAGTTGGAAGTATGCTTTAGCATTCGTGTACTATTAGTAGTTATTGTTCGGTTTCAATACGCATTGGAAACGTCACATTACCGTTTTATACACCGTGTGACATCTCAATATGGCGACTGCGGATAACCCTGAGGTGGTCGGTGGCGGCATCGCTTCAATTTGCCCAAGTCCTGCTCTAATATCATTCGACTCGAAGGCAGGTCAGACCTTACTAAGTATCTGTCTAACGGCTTCTCGACTGACGATGTAGAGGTAAACTGCTAGCTCGTATTGTACTCGAGTCAGGTGAGGGTTCTTTCAGCTGCTTCCTTCTCTATCTTTGGTTGCCAATCGTTCCGTTTCAGTCGTGCTAAGAAGGAACTGGGTACAGTCATGAGTGTTACCTTGTAGAGTACAAGACTGTTGTTCGTATACATAATATTGCACAGCTTTGCCAGGAAGGCTAGATCTGTACAAGCTTGTTCACTCGAACCTTCATGTCTCCTGGATCCTCCAAGTTATGAAGCGAGTGGCAGGCATCTAACGTTAATATGGTTGGTACTGAGTCAAATCGCTAAACTTTGCTTGAGGATAGGTTGCCTTTTGGTTTGGCTACTGTAGGGTGACTGAACTTTCGACGTCTACAAACACCTACAAGGGGTACGTTAACCTGGCCCACCTAAGACAGCCTTTAATCAATGTAAATCAATTAACTATGGATATAGTAGTGACGTAAAAAAATGACTGAAATTTGAGCTCGGCTAGAGCATTGTCTGCTCGGATGGTGTACATTTGGGAGTAGGGAAGGCGACATAGAACCTTCTTGTCGTGTTGTTGCTCTAGCAATCCATAACAAGCAACATGCCAACCAATGCGTAATAGTACCGCTGCCCCTACTACTGTACGACTGTGACACCACTAAGACGCACAGACATGCAGCAGCGCCATCCACTGCGTGGATTATGTTTAATCTTTGGACGGGAATATTAACTAGTATAAGCAGCTAACGCGTTATAAGCACTCCGCCTGGTGACCTGAAGAGTACAATTGCACGGTTGAAATCCAAAGGAATTGACGGGAGTGTATACAAGCGGTGGCGTTTGTGGTTAATTCGACAATAGTACGCGCAAAGGTTTCAATTTTGACAATAAGTTATTGGCACAGCCAGCCGTTACAAAACAGTTTCAAATCAATTCGTTCATACAATCATGGGAGCTGCGACGTTGCCGCGGCTCGCTTTACGCAGATAGACGACAACAATGACTGGCACGTCCTCCGTGGCCATATCTGCCGCCGGCTCCCACGAGGCCTCGAGGATGTCTATCCCGAGCCACTTGACGCGGAGCATCCACGAGTGGGTCGGGCGGTCGAAGCGGCAGTCGAGGAAGCACTCAACAAGGTGGCCGCCCTCGACGTATGCGATGTGATCCGTCAACGCCTGCGTTACAAGCATGTCGCGGGCGGCAAAGAACTTGAGACGCGAGGCATGGTGCGTCGCGACGGCGCCATTGCGCAGGCCCTCGACGCGGTACACCCAGTCGCGTACCATTGTCACAATCCGACGCGGCCCGAGCCATTGCACTTGACGTTTCTTGGCAAAAGAACGCACGTGTTGCCATGGTACAGAATACACCATTTGTAGCACTCACTGTACATGTACAGTAGTACTGTATCACTACGTAGCTACAGTACTACTACTCCGGCGATAGATTTAATCTATAGCGCTATTTAATCCTTTTATTGTGCACGTGCAGTTGATAGTGAATCACGTGAAAGTCGTGCCGCACTATGATTTACCATTTGCACGTCCTAGACGGTCGTAACGTTTTGTAATGACATTGTAAGCCTTTACGTTAAGTCTACTAGTATTGTCGCACCTGGAGACTCACAGTAACTTGCATTACTGTACAGAAACCATTTTCATACAACTTTTGCACCTTCTCATCGACGATTTGTACGGTCGCACCTTGCGAAACAATTACCAACACTCCTAAATAGTGTCAATACATTGGAGCCCCATACTTATTTCCGGTTAATTATCCGGATGTTTCGCGATCCACTACTAATAATAGTTTGTATATTGCTACTATTAGCTACTATTAATAATAGAAGGTACCACAATATGTTTGGCTGACACTAGCAAACTGCGACCAGTTCAGCCCCCAACTGCAAACAGTGCGTCCTACTCCAGGTCACTCGTATTCATTTTAACGTTTCACCAAGCTACTGTAGTTGACAACTAGTAGTCTTGAGTACTACTACAGTAGTACTACCGTATACTACTACCTGTACAGTAGTATGGATGATGTTGTAACGTTAGAGGGTGCTGGTTTGGTTTTGATTTTCCTGGCAGGACTTTTGTTTTGGCCCGTGATGCATAGTAGCAACTTGCAGTGTGCACTATCATGGTAAAGTCTCTACTACTAGTATGTTGGGTTTGCATTCCCAAATCCAAGGTAGCCTTCGAGTTTGGAATGTCCAATCACCCAGGTAGTGCTGTGGTTCAAGTTCCAAAGTCGACGGTTACGTGTATGTAACCGACAAGGGCCACCGATTTTGGCGGTAGCGAAATGTCGTATGCCCAGGCCTTGCGGAATTTCGTGACTGAATCCCTGCAAGACGTCGATGCCGGCACGCTGATCCACCTGTGCGACACCTTTCATCTCGACCCGACTGCCTTCCCTACAAAGCAAGACATCCAGCGGAGCATTGTCGATTTGGTCGTGAAGGACCGAGAGACGGCATTGGGTGCGTTGGTCAAATAAATACATGCCCGGCTTTGTCTTACACAAAGCTAACCCATTGAATGTGTCATGTTGTAGGGCTTTTTGTAGCGTGGAAACAGGTGCTAACTACAGGGGGAGGGGCAGCGGAGTCGATTGTGCTCGACAACACCGCATTTGCCAACGCATTTTTACCCATCGACGCCCCGTCATCACCCCTGCAACAGCAACAAGCCGCGATCCCCATGCCCCCTCAGACCCCCAAGCGCCTGTTTGACTTTGTTTTAGATCGAGATCTGGCGGTATTGGGCGACGAGTTGCTGCGCCTCGAGTCAGCCTACAAGGAGGCCGAGCGGGGGCTGCACCAAGGCGGCATCACGTATGAAAAGATCAAACGCTTTTTGCAATCCCTGACCAAGGTAAGAAGAATTGTGGTTTTGATTGTTGCTTTGAGTATTTCTTGTTTGGGACCTGTAGTTGCGCGCTAAGGACGACCAATTTCGCATCCTCCTGCTTGAAAAGAACCAAAATCTACGAGCTGACAACGCACGACTGTTTAAACTCGAGGCCCACACCCGCAACCAGCTAGAATTTTTCGTCGACGGATGTGCCCGGCTGCGATGTAAACTTGACGCGATGGTCGAAGATGTAAAGCAAACACACACTATCCCTCGTTTCGTCTTCTGTTTTCTTGTACTTTTCAAATGACTTCACAAACACTGAGGTAGTTTAGCCGCGTGAGCGCCGCCGATGCCGCAGCCCACGACCTTGTCGTGCAGTTGTATGCTGGGGAATGTGCCTTTAGCCAGGTACCTTTCTTAACCTCTCGACGATACATGCCCACTTGATATGGTCTCTTGTAGGCACTCACATCGACATTGCACTTCAAGTGCCAGCGCTTGACAGACACCGAGGCCGCACTCGCTCTCGCCACCGCCACGGTCGAAGCGCTGGAAGCCAAGTTAGAGCAACAGCGTTTGACTCTCGATGTCATGCGGGCAAAGTGGACCGCCGCCGCCAAGGACGCCTTGTGCGGTCGGGTGCAGCTCCGTCGGTGTCGAAAGCGGCTGCGAGAAGTCGACGGTCTCGCGGCCGAAGCAACGTTCCTGCGTGCGCGCGCCATGGAGATGCAGCACATGGTACATAAGTACATCGTCGTTGGACATCGGGTGCCTTGAAGCAACCTGATGATGTGACTTTGAAACAACTTGCATAGTAGTATGGCATGTGGTTCTGTTGTAATTCTGTTTGTAGGCGTGTGATTTGTTGGGGATGGGGCACGTCCATACGTCTGCCTTCCAGGACGCCAAAGGAGCGTTTGTCAAGAGCGCGGACAGATCCTCCATCGCGTGGCGAGTTCTTCGCTACTTAAACACGGTGTCGTCCCCCACGTTAAGCCACCCCCCACCTTCGTCCAAGGAAGTACCGTCAACAACTATGGGCTATTCTCCAAGTAGTGGGGATACCGCGAATATGCCATCCATTAAGCTGCCATGCCAACGTCGCCGAGATGTGCTGTTTGATCTGTCGGTGGTCGTCATCCTTGGAGGCGGTCAGCAGTTGTCTTCAGTGGTGCACCGCCTCTGCCTCCAGTTTGGATATTCGTCGCTAGACGTGGACGCATGGCGAAGTGACAGCAGCAGCACCGACGATGCCCCTGAAGTCGACACCAAACCCGTGCCAGTGCCGCACGACCGGCTGGCTCGGGCTATTCAAGCCATCGGCAGCGTGCTCGTGTACAATTGGCCGGGACTTGCACCTGGGGACATCCATCGCCTCGTGCAGCATGGCACGGATGTGAAAATGGTGGTGGACTTGGGTGACAACCCCCCATCCACGACTTCGTTAAGCTTGGCTCACTCCTGTGGCGTGTACTGCAAACTGCCCACACAGCCCCCATTACATGTCGACCAGATGGTGCAGGACACTGCGTTAGTATGGCGCGCCTACCAAGATCGTCTGTACACACACGTGGGGATCCTATGGGATGGTCCCACGGATGTGTTGAACGAACGCAGTGCCATGATGCACGAAGAGATGAGCCAGCGCATGGCGGTGGAATGGGCCAAGCACGTGGCGGTGCTTGCCGACAAGAAGGCGGCGGCCGATGCCAAAGCCAAGGCCAAGCTCCAACCGGCCAAACGGCCGCCTAGTAGGAGTACCACCCCCAGCCAGAAAACGAAACCGGGGACGCCTGCCAAGGCAGCAACTTCCGCCAAAGGCAAAACCCAAGCTAGCCCCACAAATGCCCCTTCCAAAGGCTCGAAAACTCCGGTGAAAAAGGCCCTGGCAACGACTCCCGTGAAAAAGAAATAGTATAACGTTACAATCAATCTCGATGGTGGGGTTCTTTATTGTTAAAAACTACGAAGAATGGACACAACGTTGATGTGCATCTTTGTATTGTCAAATCGATTCGAAACTGGAGCCGTCAGCAGAATCACATGTCTGAGGAGAATCGATTAAAGAACCGCCTGAACCAATCAAATCACGTCATGTCGAATTTCTGCCAATACAAACGTTGACCCCATTGTAGTAGTATAGTATGTACTACGTATTAATACTTCGAAGTACAATCTTAAATAGGATCAAATAGATTCGAGGGAAATGACCCTCAAGTCCAATTTTGGGTGAAATGCACAATAATTGTTCATATGAAAGTTTGGACCGCTATTCTAGTAGGCACAGACGTGGAAAAAATTGCTCTACCGTATACTGTACCCCCTGCTTCAGTACCTATGATTTCCCCGGTTGATCCTGTGTCATGTGCCTACATACAGTGCTGGCCAGTAGGATCCAGCCACCCCGTTTATCTGGGATTAATTTTGTCCAATAAAACGTAGAGACATGCGGAATACACCATTCTCTCCGTTTTAATTGGTTGTTTAATGGGTCCGTTACAACAGCTTGATCCGATAAAAACTGCACTTTATTTTGTCCAAAAACCATTTTGAGGGGTGGTCAATAGGATCCCAACCACTTCAGAAATCACAGGTTTCAAGGTGCAGTACGATGTTAAGTACACTCAAAACACTTGCTAGTACTTTGTGTTGGACCCCTTTGCCTCTGAACTAATCTACAACGACGTGGCATCGATGCAATGAGCTTGGCAAGGTAGTCTTGATCGATGGAGGACCAGGCCCGCTGAATTGCCAGTCCAAGGTCACACACACTGCCGTTCTGCTTCCCACTCACATTCACATACTGCACCATCATGCCCCAGACGTTTTCGATCGCGTTGAGGTCTGGGAACAGCACAGAGTGCTCAAATAAGTTGATGTTTTGCTCGTCCAAAAATGCCAACAAAGTTTTGGAACGGTGAATGGCGACCCCATCTTGCGTATATTACACGTTCGAACGGTTATTCTAGTGCCCAAAAGGAAGCAGAAGATTGGACAGTGTTACGACGTAACCATCAGACTTTTGGCAACCCTAGAGAAAGGCCAGATCGAATTTGCCGAGGATGCAAAAACCACCCCACACCATGATGCCACCACCACCATTGGGGTACGACTCGTACATCATACCAGACGTACTTACGGATGCTAGTACCTCTGGCATGATGTATGAGTTGAAACCAAGTCGTATTCGACGCGTCCCAATGGTGGTGGTGGCATCATGGTGTGGGGTGGTTTTTGCATCCTCGGCAAACTCGATCTGGCCTTTCTCTAGGGTTGCCAAAAGTCTGATGGTTACGTCGTAACACTGTCCAATCTTCTGCTTCCTTTTGGGCACTAGAATAACCGTTCGAACGTGTAATATACGCAAGATGGGGTCGCCATTCACCGTTCCAAAACTTTGTTGGCATTTTTGGACGAGCAAAACATCAACTTATTTGAGCACTCTGTGCTGTTCCCAGACCTCAACGCGATCGAAAACGTCTGGGGCATGATGGTGCAGTATGTGAATGTGAGTGGGAAGCAGAACGGCAGTGTGTGTGACCTTGGACTGGCAATTCAGCGGGCCTGGTCCTCCATCGATCAAGACTACCTTGCCAAGCTCATTGCATCGATGCCACGTCGTTGTAGATTAGTTCAGAGGCAAAGGGGTCCAACACAAAGTACTAGCAAGTGTTTTGAGTGTACTTAACATCGTACTGCACCTTGAAACCTGTGATTTCTGAAGTGGTTGGGATCCTATTGACCACCCCTCAAAATGGTTTTTGGACAAAATAAAGTGCAGTTTTTATCGGATCAAGCTGTTGTAACGGACCCATTAAACAACCAATTAAAACGGAGAGAATGGTGTATTCCGCATGTCTCTACGTTTTATTGGACAAAATTAATCCCAGATAAACGGGGTGGCTGGATCCTACTGGCCAGCACTGTAGTTGTCTATAATTTGACATAATTACCCAATCACCATGCGTTAAATCCGTTCGTCGTCCAATGAATGAATACATTCCAGCGATAGATTTAGACCAATGAGGACGCTGGGTAGTTTTCAAGGCACATCTGTTCCAGTTTTGATCAGATCGTTTTCATAGGTACTGAAGGGGATGTCGAAAGCACAGACAAAACGATCAAGATTGGCATTGGTTCATGGACCGAGTTCTTAACGGGGGTGGGTGGCGTTGGCATCGGCAATGCATCTACCATCACGAAAAAGGGTATTTATATTACTGACGTCAATATGGGTTGATGGGTTTTCTTACTTCAGGAGATCTTGGTGAATCGTTCCTTGGCCATTCGACACGACAATGTGGCGGGTGTGGAGGGTGAAGAGCGACCCGACCGAGTCCGACACTTGCCCGCCAGCCTCTGACACCAGCAGCGCACCCGCCGCCACATCCCACGAGTTCAAATCCAGTTCGTAAAACCCCTAACCCATTTTCGTTCAACAGGTATGCTGCCATGTCTCGATTTTTACCGTCTGGCGGCCGCAGCTGACCCACGCTAGTTCCAAGGCGGCGGCGCCCTGCAAACGAAGGCCCCGACATGTGCTAGAGAACAGAGCAATCACGTCCAGCATGGGAAGGCGAACGCTGGGCTTGGTGCCAATCCCAAACCCGACCAGCGCTTGCGAGAAGGTCAGCTCCTTCTTGCTCACGTGCACCGCGACGTCGTTCAAGTGCGTCCCGTGGCCCCGCAGCGCACTAAACAGCTCGTCGCGGTACGGGTCGTAGATCACGCCCACCACCACGACGCCGTCCAGCGCAACCGCGATCGATACAACGCTCGCGGGTCGCCCGTGCACGAAGTTCGTCGTGCCGTCAATGGGGTCGACGACCCACAGCCACTGCGTGCCGTCCATAGAACGAATGGCGGCTTTGGATGCGTCGCTGCCGGCATCTACATCTTCTTCCCCCAGCATTCGATGCGTTGGGTGCTTGGCAGCGATCTGCGCCGCGATGATCTCTTGGCATTGCTTGTCCACAACTGTGACCAGGTCGTCCTTGTTGCTCTTGGACGCCGCGGTGGCACTGACAGAACCCAAATGCGCTCGCATGTGCTTTCCCGCAAGACGCGCAGCCTCCTTGGCAGTCGCAAGCACTTCCCATTGCAGCGTTGTGGTCGCCATGGTGTCGATGGAAATGTTGTTGACCGTTGACAGTTGGTGTGGCAAAACCTTGCTAAACGGATATTTCATCGAATCTTCATAACGACGAGACTGCATAAATACTTAACGTCACGCTTAAAGTCATGTGGAATGTTGGTCAAGGATATAACCTGCGTTTTATATTTCAGTGACCCGAGAAAACCTCAACATTTTCGGAGTACTTTTCAGTTGAGTGACCCAAAATAATGAGATTTCTGTTCAAATCTCGAGACCGTCACGAACCCACGCTATTCGCTAATCCAATTTTCAATGGATTTGATTGGCTCTTGCATAAATGATAAGTATATTCAACCAATCAGAACTCGATCTTGTTTCAATACTGATTAGTCAAACCACGCAAAATTGGGTAGTTTATACTGCACCATTTTGCGTTTAATTTCAGCTTTTTTTCAAAATATTTCCACTAACCCCCGATATATTTCACCGATTCGCCGCCAATATAATTCACCCAAACTAACCTCCATGTACTTCTAAGTATATTTCACGCCGAATTGAAATTTGGCCATTATATTTCACCCAACCTCCGATATAATTCACCCAACCAACGCTTAATTTCACCTTTCGAAAATATATTTCACATGACCACCTGTATATTTCATGGAAAGTAAATTAAAACCAACCCTCTACGGCTCAAGCACTAACGTCCATGTCTTCCATGTTCTCAGCACGGACATAAAACGGCTCAAGGCGGGCCGTGTACACATGCAAACGATTCGGCTTAATTCCTAATTCATTGTTGAGTTAAATCTTTTAAGTCTGTCCGTCTTGCGGTGGCCCCATACTGTAAAGGCCGCGACTCGTTCACGCAAAGATGTCTTAATGCGGCTCTTCAACGCCGGCCACATATTCTCGATTGGGTTCAACATCGGGGAGTACAGACCTAGTTTTAAGAACGAAACGTCTTGAAACGTCATGTTAGCGGTCATTCGTACTTACTGTAAACAGAGAGATGTACAGGAATTTGTGGTGCAGGGGATGGCCTCTTCCATAGAGCGCAGATTCAAAAATGGTCGATCTTTATAGAATCCCAGCTCGAATTATAACAACTGCTAGGTGAATTATATTTTCGAAAGTTGGAATTACTGTAACCGTAGGTTGGGTGAATTATATTGGGGATTCGGTGAAATATATCGTAGGTTGGTGGAAATATATTGAAAATAAGCTGGAATAAAACGCAAAATGGTGTAGTTGCGAATTCACAATATGTAATTTACGTTTTATTTGTTCTATGATCAATTTACTGAATTTAGTGACCCAAATACTGGATAGCATTCGCCCAGGATATCAAGTCAATTGTGATCTGACCTGTTGTCGTCAGGCAGTACTTTCTTTCGCAACTACGGCAAGGCTAACTACAACGCACTAACCAAGCCACTCTAAGTCGAACACATCAAGTCCTTGTCCAACGAAGGCTGAGAATGGTCCGTCGAACTGACGCTGCATATGTGGACCAGGTTGCAGGAATCTTCGCGGTTGGCGGCGAGTTGTTGCTGGTCATCGCCCCGAAGCTGACAATGCGGTCGTGGGGATAGCTCTCTTTCGCGTGTACCGTGACACGTTCAGCAGCGGCCGCAAGTTGTACGTGGACGACCTGGTAAACCGTAACGAGGTGTAGCGAAGACGTGGCTCAAAGGCGAAAGCGAGCGGCAACAGGTCGACAATTTGATTTTGGACTCTGGCGTCTAGCTGTCGAACGCCCATCGGTTTTACTTTCGAGAAGGGCTGACCATTGCTGGTTTCGACTTTGTCGCGCCAACCGCGAGCGATTAACCAAGCAACACCGCTTTCACGGCAGCACAAAATACATGCAATTGCGCAAAGCTGGGTGGTCGATTGCAGCATTCACTTCGAACGTTTATGTGGAGAGTGCCACGTATGCGTCGTGAGTGTTATCATCGTCGTATCGTTGGAGGTAGTTTTCCGCTTGTTCCCAGAGTGCAATCCCCCAGTTTACCAAGCTGCTTAATTCAATATGAAGTCACACTGCTTCGAAGCGCATGGAAGTGTCTTACGGATGTTAAAACAACCTATTCTAATTCACTTTTCGTTGGCCCTTGGTCTGCGCTCTTGACCTCTTGGCAGTGCTGACCATAAAATAATTTTCCCGTGAATATATTCATTTTTCGTTTAAAAATAAATTATTCTTTTGTCACGGCGGAGAGAATGAATAACCTATTTTTGGAGCAATCAAAAATAGGTTATTCGAACTTCTAGAGGTAAAAAATAAATATTCCTTGTGACAGGAATAATTCGTGGTTATCACGACACCTGGCTTCAAAACCACTCGTAGATATGGATGGTTATCAGCCATTAACCCAAAAGTGAAATCGAATTATCGTCATATCTCGTTTTGATGAACATCGCCAGCAACAACATCCTACGCGGCCGCCAGCTCGCTGAACTTTTCTTTACTCTGAATGCTCCTGGCAGTACGGACTGGACATGCCGGTGTGGCGCACGACGTTCACAGAATGGGAGTGGGTACACCAACCTCGTCTCGCATATCACCGCCGACCACCCCGGATATGTTGCATTTGATGCAACTAACCCTCCTAACGCCTCAGCTCTATTTGAGATCATGGTCCCACGACATGTGCGAACAGTGTTTGGTTGGTTGTATTGGATTACATTGTGTTTGCTACCATCTCTAAGTGCGGCTGCCCACGTGGAGTTTACTGAGTTTGTCCTGGATTTGTACGGGAAGTCCTGGAGCAATGTCATCGCACTTATCGGAGATAACTGCTCCACCAATGTGGCTTTTGCACGACTCGCCGGGGTGCCTTTTATTGGATGCGCCTGCCACCGGCTTAACCACTTTGTGCCCGATATGCTCACCAACTACGCATATGTTATTGACAAAGTCAATGCACTTATGACCAAGCTTCGTTTTACCCTACCGGCCGCTCGTCTGCGTCGTGTGACCCCCCTACGTGCGATTACACTAAGTGCGACACGCTGGAGTTCGACGTTCAACATGTTGAAACGGTATATCGAGCTTAAGCCATTTCTATGGGCTATTGCTGACGACAGTATCGACGTGCTACGACTTAATGTGGTGGAAAATCGCGAAGTCACGGCGCTGCTAGTCACTCTAGAAGACCTCAACTCGATTACGCTCGCCTTACAAGGCGATGAATGCTCTCTTTTGGAAGTGCGCCAAATCTTCGATACGGTTATCGAAGATTATCCGAATGCGGTGGGTCGTTTAGGTCCGAGCGCGCGAGTTGTCAAAAACCCAAGTTTTGAGAGCGCCATTGTCAAGATCCTCCGCGGCACCGAGACAATGATGACAGCTGAAGAGCGTGAAAGCGTGATCAAGCTGCGCAATGAAGAAGCTATCGAATCCAGCGCGGCGGCCGTGGCGCTTCCTGTGATTTCTCTGGCCGAGCGGGCGTTGAAAAAGAACAAGGTGACGCGCATGACGAGCAGCTTTATGGATTGGAGGTTCTTGTGCCCAACGTCGAACATGTGTGAGCGCATATTTTCGTCTACCAAGTTGGCCATCGGAGACCGACGTTGCAGCATGACCCCGAAAAATTTCGAGGAGCAAATGTTTTTGCATGCTAATATCAACCTTTGGACGATTGAAGACGTTCAAGAAATGTTGCGCTCCGTCGAGTAAGGTAGCTAGTTCTATCTTACTGTACGTACTGTTAATCCTGTTCGATAATACATGCATTGCATATCCTGTTTGAATTATTCAAGTAAATTATTCATCTGGGCGGGGGGCGGGAATAAATAATTCATTTCAGGGTAGAGAGTGAATAAGTATGACGTGCAAGCCATGAAGGACAAATAAGTAATTCGCTGCCTCGGACATCAAGAATAAATATGAATAAAATATTGGTCACCACTGCCTCTTGGACACTTGTGGACGAATGGTACCCATATTAAATTGGTACAGTATGCTTGTAGCAAAGAAACGCGTCAAGGGTGTTGCAATATTACACGTAAGTACGTACTGTGAAGTGGCTTCAACAGCGCCCCGCGCCACTTCGAATTCGAAGCCCTGGATTTCTCCGAAACTTGAACAATATAGATTCACAGTCAAAATATTATTTTGCTGGGAAGCCCGTACGTTAACAGGATCCAAAACTTGCCTTATACTAACTCTTTCAGTTGACATGGTTTTCGAACATTGCGTTGCCGTTACCCCACCAACTCCTCATCCATAGAGGTTGTTGAATGGGGGGGACTGCAACGATGACGTCATGTGTTGCTTGCACGTCGAGTCATCCAATGTCATCAACGCTGTGTCCTCGTTATAACTTTGGAATATAACATGTCAATAATCGTAGAGTATCGCTCGACTTGAACCATACATTAATTAATACTAGTATACTGTACCTAACGTTCTCCTATCGTACTATTCGCAATGCTGCCGGCAAAAGTTGCCGTGGCGCTCGAATCCTGGTCGATTGCATCCGACCGCAAGACATCGCTTGCCTACACAGGGTAGGAGAAGTATATGAGACTTCACTTCTGCCGATCAAGTGGTCAACAATGTCTACCTCCTCCATGAGCCCAGCAATGGCCATACCGAAGCGCCGTTTTGAGGCAGTGGGGGGTCTGGCAGGGCTTGCCGCCGCCGTGGCTCCAGCACAATCCCCGAGCTTTGGTTCGGTTTGTGCAGCCCTCCTTCGTGCACGACTTGGACCCCCCGTGCGCCCAGCACAGGCCGTCGTGCTTAGCCCCGTTTTGACACGACGTCATCACACATCGCACGCCCCCCTGTGCAACAATATGAGTATCAAGTTAAGTTGGAGTCAGCATGGGTATCATATCACCATACCCCGTGTCCAATGCATCTTTTCCGGCTGGCGATGAAGTGGCCGCAGCCATGCACTTCACAGTGTCGACTCCTGGACGACGGCACCGGGCGTAGCAGTACCAGGTCCTCTTTGGGGCACAGGTCCAATGTGGAAAGCGGTCGCGGACAACCCGACGTTGTTGTTGAAAGCGCGGCGACGACGATGGCAGTGCCGTTATTGTTCATGATAAAGTCAATGGACGATTTCGGGTTTTGCAGCCACAACGGTTGGACGAGCAGCAGGGTCGTGGTGGTTGTACCAGTCATGATAGGGCAAATTCCAAAGTGACTGAAGTACTTCAGACAAGTTGCGGGGTCGTCACATAATCGCGACACGGTTGTCCTATCCGCACGCACGAGGTTGACGTTAGGGGTCACCTATTGGTAGTGACGTTTCGATGGCAAATTCGGTATCTGATCAGGGTCACTTCACCCTTTCGAAGTTTACTGGACAAGGTGAATGCTGAATTCGTGTGCACTGCTGGTCAAACTGGGACAGTAGCAATCATCCCTAGGGGACTGCCTTGCCCCATATGTAGTAAAGGACATTAAACTATATAGGAACGTAGCCCCTTTTGCTGGAAAACAACGATTGCCGCCGTGTATTTTTTTGTTTTTCAACGTGGTTTTTTGTGACGGTCACAATACATGTGCTACAGTAGGATATACTTCTTGGTATATATAGGTTCATGGTATTTGCAGGTTAACCTAACGCAGCACACGAGTGTCCAAGTAGTAGTCAAAGTCAACGATGCCATATCATTATCTTAACTAGCACAAGGACATGAACTTGTTCGGCTCTCGACCGACGAGTTCCCCCCTGCATAACGCTCTACCACGAATCGTCACGATTGCAAGTCAAGGTTACCCAACCTGTCTTAACTTTGTAGTTCACGAAAAATGATGGGGGGGAATAACGACAATCGAAATTCGAAACAAAACACCCACGCGTGATGTCAAACCAGCATGAACCAACGCCGAAGAGTATGTCCCAGTGACTGGGGACATTTAATCACCCACATCAATCCTGAAAGCACCTGGTCAACGTCCACGCCGGTCATCGGTGTGGCGAAGCTGACAGCCAACGTGAAGTTGACCCTCAAAATGGGGGGGTGAAAGTTCAAACTATACGCAAGTAAACTTGGTGCACTCAGGGCTTAGATTGTAGCAATACTCAGTGTCAGCAGATGATAGAGGCATCCGCCCTTGGTGGTAGCAGATGGATGAGGCATCCCCCCTTGATTGCGAAAGGGAAGGACATAGGGGCATTAAGTGTTTTAATTGTTCAACGCCGAAGGGACATGGTTTCTGTGTTCGCAGCTAGCTAGCTAGCTCTATGTGAATACACTGCGACGAATATATTCTAGCGTCCGTTTATTTTGACATGGTGTAATTTGTCGCAATACGACGAGAAATGATCATGACATTAGTACCTGGCCAGTGTCAATATACGGAATGGATGGCAATTCGATTTCGAATGGTGTCGGGCGCGCGATGGGAGATCATCTTGCAACTTTGCAACAGAAAAATCGAAACTTGAACTCAGAAGTGTTGTCACTAGGCCTGTATATCCATACTTTAATCAAATGATATATGGTCTACCCTACCGCCCCCAAAGTGTGGAGTATACTTTAATCAAGTGCGAGGGGTGTACCCTAACTCACCCTGGATTTGTCCAAGGTAAGTACTTACTGTTAGTGTAGTACTGTGCACCCACACTTGAACTGATTTTCGTTGCAGAAACACGCGAGGATTTAGAATTGGTGGTTGTTAATTGCTACTACTCCTGGAGTACATACAGTACCTACAGTACAGTACATGTACCACGTAGTACTCCGGAGTAATGTTGGATGCTTTAGAGAGCTCTCCCTCAGATGTAAGACTAATGTTGTCGGGGGGAGGGTGGTTGCTAATAAGGCAGCCACACCTCATTAGGGTGATTGTATCACGTTAGTCCCATCCTTACGTACCACAAACGATTCGAATTCGAATGTGCCGTTGTAACGTTCAATGTCAGACACTTTTCAACTTTTCAGTTGGAGTTTTTGTTGCATTGGGCAATTGTATCGACGTATTACGGTGTAGGCGAAAAGTCCAGACCAGATCTTGGCCGTTCATGGTAACAACAATTCACTGCCAACAACCTTGCCACAGTAGGAGAAACTTGTTTTACCCTAAGTCATCTCGCGAGTCAGGATACTAGGTGATGTGGAGCTCAATGATGGGAATGCTGGTGTATTATGAGCAAGTACACGGATTCGTGTAGACCTCAAGGTTAGATTCGGGCTCTTTATATTTCAAGCATTGCGGTAGCATTAGTACGTTACTAGTACTAGAGACTGGAGATAGTCGGATCACACTGTATAAGTACAGTAGTACGGTGGCAATGGTATTGTTATGTCAAGTAGTAAGTACACTGTACTACATAGCAAATCCAAGTCGTCGTGATTGCACATTTGCCGCGCTCAGTGAGTTGGATATAATTTGAATTTTGAGTCGCCTTGGTACCAACAACATGGATGATGATGATGTTTAGCATTCGAAATCGAAGGTTGAAGCTGTCGACTGGGGTGAGTACTGTCCAACCGTCGTATTGCGTCTTAAAAACTATGTTGTGATAGGTTACTGTAGACAGAAAACACGTAATTACGGAGCATGATGTCTTGTGTGCGTTAGATGATCGTCTGTCCTCAATCAATTCGACGATGCGTCACATCTCCATCCATTCTGGTGGCTCGTCCTGTCATGAATCATCGCCCCAACCACAGTTTATGCATGTCGAACGTTGTCACAACTTTCGCCAAGTCCATTCACAAAGTTACCACTCAAGTTTTTATACTTCCCCTGGACAACTGCAATCCCAACTCCAACCCCCACCGTCAAGTTGTACAAGACGTTCATATTGTGACACATAAGTAACCTGAGCGCTATAGCCACACGATATAATATAGGACAGTTTGATGATGGGATAGCTGTGTACCTGTCTACATGACCGTGATGACGGGATGAATATGAGATGAACGTTGCTCGTCGTTCACTTCACTTTTTGAAATCGCCATGTCTATCGCGCTCGACAACTTGGGCTTTTCCGCCGCCAAAGCATCGATCCAGTATATCCTCAACCCCACCACAGCCATCACTTCACTGCCAACGCCAGACAACCTCCACAGCGTTGGGACATTGTCTCCCCCAAACCGCCGTCAGTGCCAAGTCGTTGGATGTGTCCACTTCATTGCCAGTCGAAATCGATGCATTGGTCATGGAGTAAGTTGATATCCCTTTGACGAACGACCACAAGATCATCATCATCGCATCGGTTTCTTGGGTAGGGGGGAGTACGGTGCAAAATGAAGCATTGTCCAAGTGGAGCCAAACACCGTGGACTGTGTTGGAGTCATGGTAAGCCTTTAACGGTTGCTAGTTGTCGAGCCCTGGGACACCGTTTGACGCCCTCTTAGGGGGATTTAAGCATTGCACTGTCGACGGTTGCACCAATCGAACAAAAGCGAGGGGGTTATGCTGGAGCCATGGAGGGGGGAAGCCATGCCAGACACCAGAGTGCACCAAAACAGCACTTCGATATGGACACTGTTGGGCTCATGGGGGAGGTAACGATAATGTACTACCATTCGCGAGTAATATTTTTGTAATCCTCTTCAATGCACTTTAGGCAAACGATGCAAGCAAGTCGGATGCAATCGACCAGGTTATGCGCGGTATGACCAATTCTGCCGAGAGCATTGCGTTTAGTATAGGAGTACATTGTAGTTAATAAGTAGATCGAGTCACGTAAGTACTTGTATCGTGCACTAGCTAACGTTAGGTAGGTAGCACGCATGTCAATGGTGATGGCAGTTGTACTGGTAGACTTTTTGTACTCCTGTGTGTCGCAAGTTACCTCTGGTGAAATGTCATGTTGAGTGAAGCGACGCATCATTTGAGGAATGGATGGTGCACCAATCTGTCTGATCAAGCACTTGGACTTCCAAGCGTACAACTGACGATAGCAATAAGTCAGACTAGTATTCCATGTGACTGGAGGATTACGTCAAATCCACAACACATGCATCGCACTTGGATCCAGTTTGGTTGTACACTAGGACCTAGCGTTGATTCAACGTCGACGGAATATAATATTCGATTCATTTGAGCTGGTAGCAACGTATTCAGTGGCAGGTCAACGAATCAGTCGTGTCAGATTCCGCGTTTCGCTGGGCAAATCGACCACGCGATTTGGAGCTTGATCACTTTAGGGCTCGTTTCCTATGTAATAGGAAACCATTCCTGTCAAAGCTTACATGCCCACAGCAATTTGCATCCGTACAGCGAAATCACTCTATTTGATATGTACTGCCGTCCCCAACACTGTTGCCACCTCGAGTTCGTAACCTTATTGGAAACGAGCCCTAAAGTGATCAAACTCCAAATCACGTGGTCGATTTGCCCATGTAAACTCGGAATCGGACAAGACCGATTCGATGTTGACATGCCTCGTGTATTTTCTGTACGTGCACAAATACACGAGGCATGTCAACAACGAATCGGTCGTGTGAACGCTTAATTCTACCCGGACCCTAAATCACCCGTCCAAACCTGGCCGATACATACTGCAACGTTACTGTAAGCTCTGAACAATTTACTGCGGAGGCCTAGTACATAGAGTATCATCCCATGCACAATTCACGCAGCATAGAACATGCGCACCCAACCTTGATTCGAATTCGAATCGTGTAGACACTGTCCAGATCTGAATGATCTATTGATCAGCGACAACATGCATGGTGATGCCAAGGAATGCGAGATAGATGAAGGCAGGAACGTCTCCAGTAAATTAATAAAATTCCCTACATACTCATTCTGCCACTCAACTTCGATACTGCGCTGACGGCAAGACGTGATGGCTCACCATGGCCTCGTCAAACTCTGAGACACTGCGAGGTGTCATCTCCCAGGATTTCAAATTATCAATTTGTTTAAAATCACTTGTAAAACCATCACGTAGGGGGACTGGTCGATGGCATTTTCCTACGCAATGAGTCCAACCCGCCTCTTATTTCTACAGGTATACTACTTGGAAGCACATAGTTTTGGCCGACATACCCAAGTGGAATAACTTTCCACAGCTCATTAGCACAGGTGGCGGAACACGTCGAACCAGGGTCAACTCCACAATCAAAGCTCCTTCGGGTTCAATCAATCCAGCCGCTTATTAGAGCGAGGCCCTTCCTTGTTGACGGAGATTTGGGGATATTCCTTTAGCCGTTTCTGTTCGACGTTTCATTTCCACTGTCTTGAGTGAACGAGCACACACGTACAGTACTGTACAGTAGGCCCCCTGCGTCGAATTGTCACCCCAAAATATAGAGCACGAAAACTGTAAAGCAATTATCGACTAGTATCATGGTCACGTTCGGGAACGTGATTGGAGCCGCCACCCACTTCCTTCAAGTTGGCCACATCGCAGTTTTGACTACATTGTCTGGTGAGGAAGGCGGATGAATGAAAGCGTTTTGACGAAGAGAACACGTATCTCATGACTGCCTGTTGAAATCACTTTGTGGCAATAATATGTCAATCAAACTAACGTTATGCAACTTCCCAGTACTTTCAGAGCCTGGCATTCGAATTCGAATCGTAATGTGTCTGAGTTCCGACAACTCCATCGCAACAATTGCGTCAGCGAAATTTGCACACCTTTTCCCAATCGTGTGTCGAAAGCATGCAAGGTTCAACACCCTCACCTCGATAGATAGATCGAACGACAACAACAAGCGCCAATCAGTTTGGTTCGAACCCCCGGGTCTTTCCCCTTTGTCCTCATGTGGCAATATGAGCTCCATGAAGCATACAGTATTTACATTACAAAGAGCGTCTTCGAAAAATTCGCAACGACTTGGTCGTAATGATGGCCTGTATCTGAGCTGAATATTCATTTGCAAGTCTTATTGACTTCTTGAGTGGGCTGCTATGAATTGGCTTATAGAGTAGACTAGCGATTGTGGAGACCATAAGGGTATAAAGTGAACTACTTCGTTCCAAGGCTACCATACACTGTACTCGTGATAACGTTATACCAGTAACGCTACTGAATCCCTTGCGCAAGAAGTCCTAAAACTTCAACACTATGAAAGTCAATTGCTACTGTATTTCAGCTCACGCTTTGGATGCGAAATTGTAGCGTTACTTTATTGCAATGTGCCGTAGTATCTGGTTAACGTTTCTCGAAATTCTCCGATGGTCCAATGCGGACTTAGGGTTACTACGGTGCTGTCTTGTCATGTCGGTTTTGGTTATTGATATCGGATATCATTTAAGCCATTGATACCAGCGATTTGATTTCGACATGGCGGTGTGATACTGTCGCTAAGGGATGCATCACTCGACGGGAGATGGTTTGTGAAGGTACTAATCTGGCACGTGCGACAATCGAATACCGAAGTACCACACTACTCCACTACTCGCCCCCGTCAACAACTATCAACATGACTGTCAACATACCCGCACACAAGCAGAAATGTCAAGGCTATAGTTGTAGAGACAGATATGACAGATGACAAGCAAAGCTATATATGTTGTAGTGTTGGTCTGAATTGTAGGACTAGGCGTTATGTTGGGTTGAACATGTCACTGAGTTATGACCCCCACATCCCCATGCAAGCAAGTGGGTGAGTGAGGGGTTCACATATATTCGAAAGGTCGCGATTTCGGTGCCTTCCATATGTAACCTCCGATGTTGATGGGATTCGTCGTTGGGAAGTGACGGGATTATACTGCCATCAAAGCTCCCGTCACTTGATCACTTTTGATTTTGCTATCATTCCCCACCATGTGCAACCACACCAAGTCCAAGAAGTCCTCCATTGCGTACATACTCAACGCCGACAGTGCGTCGTCACTCAAATCGGACACTCATTCCAGTCCTTCCCCAGTTGTAAACTATCCTGATACTACGATCAAAGACGCCAGGGGTCGCAGGGTATGTGACGCCCCAGGATGTACATACCTCGTAGCTAGTCGAGGGCGATGCATTGGTCATGGCGTAAGTCTTTCAATTCAACACCACGCCGTGCTAACTCCATCTTTTTTGCAGGGCGGCGTGCGGTGCAAAGCCCCCCACTGCACCAATGGAGCCAAACATAACGGGGCGTGCTGGGCACACGGTAGGTACCTCGTCCTCAAATGGATATTGTGTCCGACATTTGGGGTGGGCTTAGGCGGATCGAGGGGTTGTAAAGTGGACGGGTGTCAGAACCGAACGAAAGCTAGAGGGGTGTGCTGGAGCCATGGCGGGGGCAAGCGGTGTATGGTCCGCGACTGTTCCAAGACAGCGCTGCGATATGGGTATTGCTGGGCGCATGGCGGAGGTAGACGCGACTGGCTATACATACTCCGCATCGATGGACTTGATTCAATGTTTTGATTCTCGAGTGTAGGGAAACGGTGCCAAGTGGATGGTTGCAATCGACTGGGGCTTCAACGATACGCCAACTGTTGTGCTCGCCACTGGCACATAATTGTGTTATGACATTACTTTCGAGAACAGCTGATTTTTTCCTCAACGCCAACGCCAACGGGTCAGTTCAGCAAAACTGTAGTGTACAGCACATGCAGCCTGGTGGACAAGGAATACTACTGTAGTACTATAATAGCAGTCCTCTGGTTTGCCACTCGGTTGTTTACCATCTCGACATACGATGGCCGCACATTAAGTCTTATATCCCATGAATAAAAAAAGGAGAAAAGAAGTATCTACAAAGTTGCCTGGCTGGATGCCAGCTGTATTATGGAAAAATCATTCGATTTTGGATTCACTGTCATGTCCAAGACTTTAACGTGAACACAAACCTCCAAATCAGTTCATTTTACTTAACGTAAAAACCAATTTGAAGATAGCCATGTTTATCTTAAAGTATGTATGTGTCGGAGCATTGAAATTCTGTGTTTACAGTTAGGGTAAGCGGTTACAACAGGTTTCATATAAAATACTAGTACAATACAATAATTTATACAAGGGTATTGTTTTATAGAGCTAAATTATTTTTCTGTTGTGGTTCACTGAGTTTAACACTCGACAAAACCTCAGATTCAACCCAATGTGGCCCGTGTCGACTAGGGTACTTCAAACCCAATCTTGAATGACTGTTACCAATGGCTTCTACGCCGTTTTTGCATTTCATTCACGTGATGGAATGGTCAGCATTATATGACCAAAGTTTACAGTAACCTTTTGGTTGGCATCAGACGCACAAAATGTCAAAAAATGGAATATTTCGATATTGGCAAGTTTTCTTCAAAAACGGCCATTTTAAAATGCATTTTTTTGTGGCATGCAGAGCTGCTACAGTGTACACCAGTGATCTTTTACCCCTCTGTCCCTGCTTCCTTTGTCGAAAGCGTTCCAAACCTCTTTTCCTTGTAACTAGACCGTAAAATTGTTTCTTCCCATGCTGGATACAAGTCTGTTGTTTGCAAGATCAACGTAAACTCGTAAAGAGATTCAATCCATGGGCACAAGTATACGTTAATACGACAAATGTCTTCTTTGAAAAGTCCCATCAACGGCAGAGAAACGATCGCAGCGCAATGCGTCGCTGGCTGATTGTGCTGCCGGAATGGTGGGCGAGACGGGGATCGTTGTAAAACCAGTGAATCGCATCCAGCTGGTCGTGGTGGTTGATGCCGTCGACACTGCGCACCGTCGCAATCAGGTCGTGGACTGGAGGGGGCGGCACATCGCCCACGTCGAACACAGTCTTCTCGTCCAAGCCCTCGGGGGGGCTGTAGCGGGCAGGGTGACCGGGGATGGCCTTGGGCACTGGCTGAAACTCCGAGTCCAGACACCATTCGTGGGACAGAGGCAAGTTGTACGCCCGCGCCGCCACCGCCGTGATGCGCGCGTCCATCGCCACCAAGTGCTCCGAGAGAGTGTCGAACTGCACGGCATTCATCGCGACGGCGTCCCCGACCTCCTTTTGAAGAACTTCCAGCTTCGCAAGCAAAGATGAAGACTCGGCCGTCTTGGCCTTCTTGTTGGGGCGGGGGTTGCGATCGGTGTCGTCGTCGCTACTCTTGCCCCCCCCCTCGTCGTCCACTTGTTCGTCGTTCGTGCCCTCGTCGTCGTGTGAAGAAGGGGGCGGTTGAGTGGTGTCCTGAGCATGTTTCGCGGGAGTCATGATCGTCGTCGTGGTCGTGATTAACGCTGCGGTCGTGCGAAGCATGAAATCACGGAATGGCAAAGAGAAGGCACGTTGACTTGTGGCAGTTAGTGCAAATATCCGAAAACTCGGGAACCAACAGAAATCGGCAAAATCAAGTTTACAATTGGCTAGTGACGTCGTTGTCTTGTTTTGTCAAAATTCGATTTGAAATCAATCGAATTATTAATAGTAGTTGACAACAAACGGTTGACCAATCAAAACCCAGAGTTCTATTCAAGTTGGACAAATATCAGTATGTGCCTTAAATTAGTGTGATGGCAGTTTACTTACTACTAGTACGTAGTAGTAATACTTAGACCTACTACACCCCGAAGTGGTACTTGACCAAATTTTGGCTGAGACGGCATTACTACTCGTACGTAGTAATATCGCAGGAATACATTCGTTATGATACCAATTAACTCTAGAAGTCAATATTGGTGTCGTTTTTACTCTTTCATGTATTTAAAGAGGTTTTTTCATGCTTTTTGGTTGGCATGGCGCGGTAAAGCAATCGACTACGACCAGAACGCTACCGAGGCGATCATGGTGCATGGAAGTAGCAATGGCGGCAAGAAGAAGGCCAAGAAGGCCGCCAAGAGGAAACCGGTGAACCTCCAGCCGCAGTATCCGAGTAAGTTTCCTAAAGTAGTCCACGTCGACGACGGGGACTCGTCGGCCGTCGACGAGCATCACGAAGTGTCTCATGACATGTATCCTTCCAACCACGCAGAGTACGCGCAAGGCGACTTCCACATGCACAGGTATGTATATATGGTGTCCAAGTCATCTTGACGAGATTGTCCGTGTTGCAGCACATGCAGCGACGGCAAGTTTCGGCCGTCGGAAGTGATCGCCAAGGCCGCGGCCAACGGCGTCGTGTACATCTCGCTGACCGACCACGACACGATGGCGGGTGTCTCGGAAGCCATGGACATGGGTCGGTCGCTCGGGGTGTTTGTCTTGCCGGGCGTCGAAATCAGCGCCGAAGAGGCCGGAGCGGAGAACCTGCACATCCTCGGGTACTTTTGCCCAGGCACGGACTCGGTGGCGCTGGAAGCCAAGCTGCTCGCCATCCGTCAAGCGCGGCATAAGCGGGGCAAGGAAATGCTGCGCAAACTGGTACGTGTCACACATCGATTGCAACTGTGACAGAGTTGGGCAGGCGGAGATGGGGATTCACTTGAACTGGGACCGAGTGCTCGAGATCGCAGGCGAAGCCGCGCCCGGCCGACCGCACGTGGCGGAGGCTCTGGTTGAAGGCGGCCACGTGTCCAACTTTCGAGAAGCGTTCTCACGGTATCTCAGGAACGACGGCCCCGCCTATGCTGAGGTATTCATTCATCATCACACTATTTGTTGTCATACACTAATTATACGTCGTTGCTTGGGAGTTTACAAGTGTACTAGCCGATCGCACTGTTTGTTGTCATACACTAATTACATGTTGCTTGGTCGTGTGTCGTCCATTCTACAAACCGATCACACTATTTGTTGTCGTTTACCGATGACATGGTGATCCGTGCGAATATGTATGTACATTGTATGAACCGATCTCACACTATTTGTTGTCAATCACCGGTTACATGTTATATATCGAACACCGATCACATTAAGCGTTGTCATACACTATTACTCGTTGTTTACGAGAACTGGTCACACTAATTGCTGTATTATACCAGTACAAATTCCACATATTGATTGGTATTATTCTATAAATATAATAACTTGATGTGCTGACATAGGGCGAGCATTTCCCGCCTGAAGGTACCACGATTCGATTTTGCATATCGGAGAGGATGTGAACATGGGGTGGTAGATGCCATCCAAATGATTGACCAAGCCGGGGGGGTATCAGGTACAGACCAACCTGTATCGCATATCGAGTCATTGATTGATAATATTTTTCGGAATCAATGATATATATATGGATACTTTATTTAAATAATAAAAATGAATAGTGCTGGCGCATCCATGGTGTTGCAAGAACCCCCTGGCAATCGTTCCCACGTTGGCCGCTGCTGGCATCCACGTACGCATCCATCTGGAATAATAATATTCTTCGATTGAAACCCAAATATATATTTTTATATATGGACAAGAGAACGGCTATATATATATATATATTAATATATGGATATATGGACAAGAACAAGAGAAAACGGCTATATATATATATATATCGATTGTAGGGCATGGAAGTGTACCATGATACGGGCAAAATCGACCTCTACGGCAGCTTGGCAACCGAGTCCAATCTTCTCAGGGTATATACATTGTATACCGATTGTATATTTTTGTGATATACCTATATATATATATATATTTCTAGTAAACGCATTGGGTATACATGTAGTTGGGAGGATCAGACTTTCACGGGATCGACCCCATGACAGAGCACGCCCCCGGAGACATTCCGCTGCCTCGAAAGCATATTGATTTGTTTCTGGAGCTGTGCAAAACCAAGTGGCGGGTGCCGCTGGCGTCCAAAGTCGTCGAAATGTGCACAAGCGCCAACGAAGTGGAAAAGTCGACCATTTGGACAGAGCTGTTCCCTCTGGTTAAGGACACCGTCGACGCCTCGTACAGCGATACAGTTACCCTAACGCACACTGTGGACGGCCATTACACTGATATTGTCATCGCCAAGTGCATTATAGACAACGCGTAATATCACGATGCTGTGTGTGACAAAGTAAGAGCCTCGGGTGGGATGGTATCATACTACGGTAGTAAATTTGTGGTCGTACAGTTCGAGCTCGGGGTTTCGGGGTTTAGACGGCAATACAAAAGTTCTCCACACTATTGTGCTTTCGAGTGAAGTTTCGTGTTGTGGCGTGGTTTCTCGTTGGAATTTAAATCCAATTGATTGGCTACTTCAGATGAGCTCAACATTATTAGCCAATCAAAACCTTCTCAATGAAATTCAACCAATCAGATCGATTGTGGATCGGTTCCGTCGGCGCGATTCGATTGCACCCCCTCCCCAAATTTGTATCAAATCGACAATACTATCTGTACTGTACATGTAAATACTACGATGTATTGTAAAAATTCGTTATAAACTTCCGACGTTCGTGTGGTTTATCTAATCAATAATGAATCACGCTGGAGTTCTGATTGGTTGAAGATGTTTGTCCTTTCTGTGAGAACCAATCAAATCCATTCAAATTTGGAGTAGCCAATAGCGTCGATGATTCGTGATTCGAGTCGGCGGCGACATTTGATTCGACGGAGTCTGGAAATTTGTACCGAATCCGCAAATACAGTAAATCCGTTCGAAGTGGAATGAATGAATGGGGCACATGTATTTCAGAATGACCTAGCGAATCCACCTTCACGAATCAGGAATTGCAACCAATCGTCGATCAGTACAATTTGGCCCAGCCTATTATTAATATATACTCGAATATATTTTTTCTTTAAATATTTTTTAGAGGAATGTACTAGTATATTATATTACTATCAGGTATTTCTTTTGATATTAGTTTTTGACAGTCAAAAATAGGTGACAACCATATTCTTCGAATTACTCCTACGTATGGTGCACGTCATCAAAAACCTTCCAGCTGGCCAAATCCAAGTCTGGAGGTTATATTATTTAACCTATATTTTATGTAGTTAAACCTAAAAAACAAAATAAGTTAACGTTTTATCCCTTGAGAGGTACGTTAAAGGTCATATACCACCGGATACAGTATGATTTACGGATACTACTCTTTTACAAAGATCAAGATATATCTCAGTGGCCATCCCTGTCGTCAAATTCAATTCGCCCATGCAAAATACTGCTTGGTTAAGTGTCTATTTCTTGTCAACCAATTTAAATCTGAGACGTAGAATTTTATCACCAAGTTACAGTTAAGATATCTCGATTCTACGTCTCTACTTGCGAGAACTGAAAATGAAATAGCAGCAAGGAAATTTTGTGGAAAGTTGATAGATTATAGGTGACGTGCACCACATAGTACTTTAAAACAAATTTTCAAAATATTAATTGGGGAATTCGGGTGTGATCCAGACCCACCCTTAATAATATTATTAAAATCAAATTATATAAGAATATTATCTATTTTCAGAACTATATACTGTAATGAACTATATAGTGTAATAAATAGTAGTATATACCCATAAATGTTTTCGTTAGATATATTTATATTATAGAATATAAAGAATATACTGCATTTTCAAATACAAAATATTTAGAATATACATTTTTATAAATATAGTTAATAGAAAAGGCTCAGCATAGAAATTAATGAATAAATTAAGATCCCCTGAAAAGCCCATTCAAAATGTTCATGTTTGAATTTTATGCATGGAATAAGCTGACTTACTGTTATTAATAACAGTAAAAATTTAAATGTAAGTCGATTCTACGAGCCATGTGAATATTTCTACAAGCTGAGCGTAAGCTGCACCACGTTAATAATTCACCTTCAAACTGGCGCCGTGATTACATACCCTGTGCGATTAATTCAATCATATATTGGTAATTCGATTTCAAAATGGACTCGGACTGCCAATCGAATCGACGAAGCAAAATCGACGCAGTAATCGACGGACCAAAGTAGCCAATGAAGTTATCGAATCGAATAAACCCTTTCGACCAATAAAATTGTAGGCTTCTCCATTTCACAAAGAATTCAACATTGTATCTGACAGCATGCATAGAGCGTACATTTACGGTTAGTTCAAGTAAAACGACGTCTCGACCGATTCAGGTACTAGTGGATTTGTCGAATCTACAGTGGTAATAATAGGTCACGATGTAAGGTCAGTCACGCGCTAGTGTACATGTATGTTATGCAAAAAATGACCAACGAAAGTTGGCGTCATAACATGCCTACTACGGTAGGGCAGCCACTCACGACAAGGTCATTGAAATCAACTCCAGTGAATGAAATGAGTATGTTAAACTTGGATAGGTGGTGCATGCCTATGTATAGGGAAGATCACCCCAAGAGGATGTTGGTATCGCGGAGGATCTTGACTTCCACGGCCAGCGCCTGCATCTCGCGCTTCTCAGCGTTGATCACATGCATGTGGCCTTCTCGATCTTGCACCACGACGTGCAATTCCGAGTTCGACGACCCCGTCTCGGTCCTCGTGGTGTCTTCCATCTCAGTCACGATTCGCGGGCCAGTGGTCGCTGTGGAACGCTGAGATTCCTCGATGTCTTCTGTGGTTGACTTGCTGTCCCTATTCGCCCGGTGGGGGTGGGGGGACTTGGACTTGTATGTGGCGGCGGCCAGGGCGCGCATCACATGGGGCTGTTCCGGCAGCCCAAAGGAGGTCAAATGGCTTGCCAGGAACCAGCGAAGCGTGCACCAGGCGCGGATCTTCATGTCCACACACGTGCCCCCGTAGCCAGGCTTGTCGACCACGGCGCCTCGGATTTCGGACAAGATGGACGTGGAGTTGAACACAAGTTGGCGGCCGAGCGAGTTGCGGGCCAGAGATCGCCACAACTTTCGATTGACAATGTGGTCTAGCGCCAGGAGACCAGCCAAGTTGCCGATGACTCCCGCCGCGAGCGTAGGCAACGCCCGAACGTACCAGCTCTCAAAGAAGAAAACGTAGGTGGCGTCCAAGTTTTGGGTCGTCGAGTGCAAGTCGACGATCACCGAGTTGCCAAATTCGACGAACGCGTTCCTTTCAAACAGCAGCAGCACGCTCAGGTACATCCACGTGACTGAGCTAAAGTTAAGCCACCCCATGACCGTATTGGTGCCCGTGTACTGCGCCATGCTCACAAAGTGGCACATCCACTTGGCGGCTTTGAGCAGGAAGCAGTTGAGCCACAGCCACCGCACGGTCATAGACATGAGACGCAGCTCGATCCACAGGTCAAACCCGCTGTTGGCGTACCACCGATTGAGTATCCTGGAATAGATCATGCTGATCTCTTCATCCAAGAGCACTGTTAGCGTATAGAGCACGACAAAGATGTCGCTGTTGAAGCAAATGTCACTCAGGCCAATCGCGGTACAGGGCTGGCGGTACAGAGGGGGGGCGATCAACCGAAGGAGGCGTTGGGGCAGCGTTTGCTGGGTAAAGTCCATCCACTGGACGGTCTTTTGACTGGCAGCGTACACGCCAAAGAGAAGCAGGAGCGTTGAAAACCGAATATACAGGGCTGCAATTGGACCCCCTCGACGCTGAATAATGATCCCTAGCTCGTGACTGCCGCCCATAATGGCTTTGCTGGTTGTAATTTCAAGCGACTTGGCGTTTTCGTTGTACGTATACTCGATCACACAAGTGTCCAGCCCGAGCTCCGTGATAGGCACGCACCCCGAGCAAAACGCTTTCAAGAAGTACCGGTACATGAAGACGGATCCCGTCGTCACTTGGCCGGGCGGGGGGAGGACGAGGGGGGTCGTGAGGCGGAGGTCCGTGCTGTGCCGCCCTGGGGTGTACCCCATAGCCCGTAACTGCGTCTCGTTCATACCCTTGGTGGCTTGTCGTGCAGAGTTGGTGTCGCTAAACCAATGGGTGAGGGCGTTACCTCGAATGAACGTGACACTGTCCAGGACGTTTCCTAGCTGAACGGTCGTGGCGTTGAGGTCTTTAATCGGATACGTTTGGACCAACTGGCCACAGATGTCGTTGACACTGTCGTGAATGGGGTGCACAGTCGTGCCAAGCATGAACGTGTGGCTGCCTCGAGCTTGGATGTGCGCAAACGACGTGTTGACCATGAACCGGCCCACCTTGGACATGAGCGCAGGTGACTCATTGGACGGAAACGCATACTGATCCAACATGGCTTCGGGGGTGTTGAGGTCCAGCATGGGGGTGAGCAGGTGCTTGGCGTCCCCGACGTAGTCGATGATGGCCCAGTTGTTGCTGATCACGTCAATCACGAGCAGGACGAGGCACAGTTTGCCCAGCACCTGCTGGCCTCCAGCCTTGGACCACTGGTAAAGCTTGAACTTGGTGGCTTTGGCTGGCACGACGTTGGCCCAGTCCACCGGGAAAGATATGGACGCTGGTCGAGGGGTGCCTATCACGTCATCCTTGGATGCAACAACGATCATGTCCCACCAGTCAAATATATGAATGGTGTGGCTGTGGAGAAGAGTTGTTTCTCAAGCTATTTATACATAAGTTACCACTGGGCGTTTGTTTCCATCTTCGATAACGCCACCGAAAGTTCATGTTTTATTTATATATTTCATTTCAAAAGGCCACCGTTTTGGTGTACATACAGTACTCCGGAGTAGTACCGTCGTAGAAACTGCTTGCATTTCTTTGCATCCCTGTCAAAGCGATCCCTTTTACTTGACAGTGATTGTCAGTCCATGACAGTGCCCTAACGCGCCTAGTTATTAGCCCTTGTCGGTGGCAATTCATGGTTGCATCAAGCACTCATCGACGGAACACATGGCAAAAGTCCCATGTTAACCAAATTGTCTGACAATACTGGGGGAAATAGTGCCTTAATAGACGCCAGCATCTTGTGTCGTTGCAACGTGACATACTACGTAGTACAGTGTAACGTTATTGTCAATTTGATTCGAAATTGCTCAATCGACCAAATCCGCAGACGATCGATCGGCCAATCGAAACCTAGAACACTAATGAAGTAGCCAATCAAACCCACTCATCAACAATATTTGTGTGCTAGCATTAGTGTGAAGGGCAACACTCGTCACGTACTACAAAATTCAGTAAAGTTACAAAATATCGATCGATGCATTCGACGGAATGGCTGAAAGGACAATTCTACAGTAACTAACTAACGTTACTACTAGTACATAGTAATATAAGTAGTACACTTCCTACCGTAGATATCACCAGTACTGCTACGGATGAACAGTATTCATTTGACTATGGCTGTCTAGCCACACCCCTGTCATACTAATTAAAGTTGTACTATTGTGTACTATGGCGCAGTGCGTTTAGGTCGGTTTTGTTTTCGTGTGCACCAATATTCATTGGCCTTTTAGACTATTATTTCCTCTACCGCAATGCTCTTGCAACCATAATTCTATGCGGTATTACTGCATGGGAAGGTTCTAGAGGATCATCCCACTCAATGAAACAACATGCGATTGACAGAAGTGAGCGGAATATCGGCGATGGCAGGGGTATTGGCGTTGCGCTGGATGTCTAGCTCTTCCTTGGTCAATGTGACCGTGTATTGATCTATCACCACCAATGCATGAGTCGTTACCAAATTCACTCGTACCTCTAATCGTGTTGTACGAGTCGAGCGGTGCCGTGGAGATCCAGTTGATGGCGATGTAGAATACCACCAACGCCATCAGAGTCATCACGAGCATGGCGGGAACGGCGAGGGCCCAATACCGCGACGGGTAGTACGTGATGCCATAAGATGCAAGAATGGCGTCGGGGACGTACGCCCAGAGAAGATAGCACACTACATGGATTCTAAGGGTCAGAGCCGTGTACAGGCTGATGGGACTGCTGCTCACCAAAGATCGCAATTGATGCAATCCACCCCGCAAAGCCATATATTTCCATCTGCATTGCCGTAATGCGCTGGGTTTCCAGGAAGGACATGCTTGGCGGCATAGCGACGCCTTCCATGATCTCCGACATCTTTCTGTCTGCCTTTCGATGGCCCGTCATGTCTGTCGACGACTTGCGGCGGTTGCTTCCATTGCCACCATCGGCCGACGACCGTCGGCGGACCATGCTATTGCAAAATGCAACATCCGGATTTCATCCGGATTTGTTGCGTTGAGAGTGCAGGTTATGCTCCAAGACGGAACTTCTATATATTTTTTTATCGCATACTCAAATCCAGTCTAACGCACCATTCCCAAATCTTTCGAACCAAATTCAAAGTAGAGAAAGTAGGATGCGATGCCGAGAATGCATGGAAGAGTGCTGCTCTGGTGCGGCGCTGTTCGTGTGCAATGGGATCGACCTGGCGTGCGGCATGGCTCTCGTGGCATATGGTTCTTACCTCGGATTGAACCACTTTGCGCCGGAATGGCTGTTCGGCCCATTGCTCGCCCTCGGCGGCCTGCTCGTCTTGACAGCGCTCATGAGTTGGTGTGGATCTGCCAGTCGCAGTTGCACCTCCCTGCTTCTCGTGTCTTCCATGCTTCTGGTTCTTGTGGCCTTGTTTGAGCTCGTGCTGGCGATTGTCATCTTCACGCAGGGCACCGCCATTGAACACTTTCTTGAGGACCACCAAGCGCAGTTGCACCTCACCGACGACGAGCTTCGCGTGCTGGAGAAGAACAAGTTTATCCCCGCGTACATTCTCATCGGTTTGTTCGTCATGGAGGTGTTTCGCTACTGCTGCAGCTCGTACCTCCGCCGCTCGCGTACGTGTGATGGCGGAGTGTGAGACCTAAGGATGGTTATGGACATGATGGATATGGCATACGTAGGCCTGGAGAACAAGTACGCCTACATGAATCTGAAGAACCTCAAAGGCATGGAAGCCGAGCTGGTGCGAGACAGCCGCAAGCAGGACTTGTCCTCCAAGTACGAAAACCTCAAGGGCCACTACAAGGCCAAATATGCCGGCCAGCCCCTCGTCTCGTGAGTAAATCCCAAAAATGTATGTGTATATCCCAATATCCGCGACCTTTCGGTGTGTGGATAAACTAGTACTACTAACAGTAGTACTGGTGTATTTCAGAGAAAGTGAACGACAGACAATACAACCCATATATGTATCTAAGCAACTAACTTGCAATGAGGTTGTTCGACATACATACATCTCGACGTCTGGCAATCTTGGTGCACGCAAGTTGAATATCTTAAGAGGGTACTACTACTGTACATACCAGTAGTACGGAGGTAGTAATAAATACTAGTACTACTAACGTTCTGGCATGGCTGTACGAACCCAAGGAACTTCCATGGAAATTTGGAATTTTTCATATGGGTCATCATATTGCGTAGACTAAGCTTGGCGATGTCTGTGTAATGGCGGTGACTTTAACCACAGGGAACAACTCGTCCCAACGGTCGCTTCTGTATGTCGTTGGGGCTACTGTAGTGCCCATTTCGAGGACTTTGAGGTGGTACCCGCCTGTTGGTTTTGACATAACTCCTGTGCTTCCTAGTGTATCCTAGGGCGTGCTCGGTCATGGGACTGCACCAATATCACTGTGTACTGGTATACATCAATTTGCGTTAGTGCGCTTCGGTAGGCGCACAAATGGGTATTAGTACTAACTAACGCTAAGGGTAGTGAGCAGAACGGTTGACAAATATGTAGATTTTGCAGCTGCGCAATGGCCGTGGAGGTTATGAATGCCGTCATCCTTGTTGCGTCTTTTTTAAGCCATTCACGGTACTTGTCTGTAGATCACGGTATTTGGTCTGTATAGTAGATGCCAGTTAGTGTATTGCAATAGCAAGCATGGACATCTCGTTAATTAGAGGCTCTCAGAAGCACGGATGGTTAGAGTAAATGCAACGTAATCTAGTTTGGACTTGCCTCCTATGACTACCCTTCTGACTGGGATGAGCAACACTGCTCGTGAGCATTTTTTGTACCTTTCGAGGTCAACAGGAGGACAAATTGACCCTCCACGCCGCTTGAAATTCTCAGTTTCGTCCTCATCAACAGAACTCTAGCCAGGAAATAACCAAATTGCCCAATTTTTCATCCTCCAAATGCACCATTTAAAATACAGAGACCTCGAAAGGAGATAAAGTCCGAAAAAAATAGGGTGCGTCTAGTAACCGGAAATATTGCAATATTCAGGCCCAAAACGCCATTTTGGGGCTAAATTCAACAAATCTGATCAAAATTGAAACGTGTCTTGCTTGAAGAGTTTTAACCCAAATCCAATAATTCCACGTGGTCCAAAACGCCACATTACAAAATGGACCTTTTACCTCCATTTTGAAAATATCTTTTTGGCTTGTAGCTACGTAACAAGGAACGAATCTCGGCGAGCGCCCACGTGGCACGCCCATCGTTCATGCCGCCTTTCTGAATTGTTCCGAAGAAAAGCAGAATGACGCGTCTGGTAAAAAGTACGAATACACAAAATGACGTTTTCGTCGTTATTCAATACTTACTGATTGAGAGATTCACCACTTCACAAAATTCCATTTTACCCTCCAACTGTTACCAGATGTGCTATAATCCCATTTTGCGAGAAAATGGAATATTAGTTTTGAAATGTTACCAGACGCACCCTAAACCTATCCAGAAGTAGTAGTTTTTTCCGAAATAACCCCTGAAAATACCCGGTCGCGGTGGAGATGCTCTTCGAGTATAACTTCGTGCCGTGTCAACACGCCTGTTTTAGTGAGGATATACGTAGTATAGTTAGCAGAATTCTCGAAAGTTTCAAGGGACCACCAGTTCTTAGGAAAGAGGTGCAGCGCCCATGATCACGCTTGCCTCGAGTGAGGGAGGGGGCGAACTCCACGGTGGAACTGGCATCCCTGGAGGCTGCGGGAAATCGCGAAAACCGGTTTCGTCTGGACAAAACTCGCAAAACGTAATATAATTTTGAATGAAAAGTTGGACAAGTCTTAATTTAAAATGAATATAAAGTGTTTTCGAAATATAAACAGCCCAGTTTACATATTGTAAACTGAAAATTAATACTTTGACCTAAAAACACCTAACTAAACTTTGTCCAAATCCTTCCATTTTTTTTGTCCAAAGACCTGTCACCAAGTTCTCAACGAATATGTAATCAGATTCATGCATGAACTTCGTGCTGGCTCACGTGAAATCACACCTCGAACATTGAAGTTCGTCGGTTTCGTAAACCTTCAACCTAAGAAATCTCAAGCTAAACCTCCTTAAATTCATGTCGACTTGGCTCGTATAACAGTGTGCATTAACAGAAAAAGCAAGGTGAAATAGGCAATTTTGTATTCAGCGCAAGGTGAACCACCTTGCGAATTCCATAAATAATTCTGAAAGTTTCAATTTCAATTAAATATATCTTCAAATTTGTATTGTTGATTTTTATTTTTAATGTGCCTATCTGTTTTTGGAATTCGCAACGCAGGTCACCTTGCGAATTCAAAATTGTCCAATTTGTCCAATCAGATGCCATGAAATTACGAAATTCGCTGCGTGGATTCACCATGCCCTGTTACGATACAGTATATTATACAATTGTGATGGCGGTTGATGCAAGGAGCATATGAGATTACTACTAGTATGTAGGTTGCGTATGAGTACAAGATCATGCGATGTGATATTCAGGACTCGGTCAATCTGAACAGGTCTAGACTTCAGTAACATCACCACTTGCCTACTAACCCAATGAATGTGGTCATCCCTCATTCCACCATCCAGTCCGTGTCGGTGGCGTACACCTCCCTGCTGGTGTGATCACGTGCTTGCGCGGGCAGGTGGCGCAAGACGTCTCGCAAGTGCTGAAACCGCCACTTCAGCACTTGCGCCACCGCGTTGGCCCACCAGAGCCGTCATGGCATGGCCACCCAACCGAGCGCACAACATAATGTTAGCTGTAAGGGGAGAACCACATTGGATGTAGTCGGAGTGAACTCATCAGTACACAATTTTCCGGAGCAGCATCACACAAAGCTCTACAAAAATCAAGCGTCCAAACAGTTCAAAATTGTAATCTCCTCTGCCAGTGTTATAGCCAATCATGTGTAAAAAACGACGTGTGATGGACTCTGATTAGATATTAAAAAGGAGCAAGGTGGTTCACCTTGCGAATTCCATTAACAAGTCAACAATAAAATAATAAATTGATTTTACTAATTATTTTATTTTATTTGAAATTAATACTTAATTTTAACAGAGATTAAAATTAAACCACCTATTGTTCCGCATTTCTTTATATATTTTTATAAACTAATTTGTATTTATAACATATTTCACAAATAGAGATTATGCTCCTAGATTGTTAAATGAAAATGCCTTCACTGCCAAATAGAGTCAAAATTGGGTACGAATTTCAATATTGGTTAGTGTATCAATCGTGTCAGTTTACAAAACGTAAACATCTGTTTACATTTTGTTAACTACCAAAAGTAATTTATTTTCGTTTGAAGGCAACCTGTCGAATTGAAATACGGTTACGTTTGCGTGTTTTGTCCAGGCGAAACCGGTTTTCGCGATCTCCCGCAGGCTCCTGGTATAAATAGTTCGTTCGTCATTTCTACTGTGTAACCTCAACAACGGTCACTCCATTCATTCCTCAGCAAGACCAACGTTGCGGCCAAGGAACACGTGATGCGCGCCCCTCGGTCAGCGTCCATCTCGTCAGAGGTCGGCTGGGCGAACATCGTGCCAGCCAAAGCCACCAAGTTCAAGCTTTACCAGTGGTCCAAGGCTGGAGGCCAGCAGGTGCTGGGCAAACTGTGCCTCGTCCTGCTCGTGATTGACGTGATCAGCAACAACTGGGCCATCATCGACTACGTCGGGGACGCCAAGCACCTGCTCACCCCCATGCTGGACCTCAACACCCCCGAAGCCATGTTGGATCAGTATGCGTTTCCGTCCAATG